ACTTCCCAAAAACTCAGTCCTCCCTCGGTATCCACTAGGCGTGAGTTTCAGGAGGCCCACAGATCCCTGGCTGCTCAAGCCACTTATCCCTAGACAAAGACTTTAAATCAGCTTTTCAAATATGTCCAAAGACAGATTCCATGAACCTAAAGACAATCCAATTTCTATTATCCAGTCAGAGGAATAGAAAGAAGAATGAAGAAAAATGAACAAAGCCTTAGAAACTTGTGGGACACCATCAAGCATACCATCATACACATAATGGTAGTCCCAGGATGTGAGCAGAGAAAGAAAGGCCAGAAGGAATATTTGAAAAAATAGCAGCTGAGAACTGCCAAATTTGATGAAAACATTAATCTACATATCCAAGAAGCTCAACAAACTCCAAGGAGAATAAACTCAAAGATAACCACATCTAGACACGTCACAATCAAACTGTCAAAAGACAAAGAAAAACTTGAAAGCAGCAAGAAACAATGATTCATCACATACAAGGAATCCACAATGATATTAATTGCTGATTTCTCATCAGAAACCAAGTTCCAAAATGCTGAGGATTGACATATCCAAAGTACTTAAAGAAAAGCAACTGTTACTAAATAATCCTATATCCAGCAAAACTAACCTTCAAAAATAAAGGAGAAATTAAAATATTCCTAAATAAACAAAAACTGGTGAATTTATCACTAGTAGACCTTCCCTACATAAATACTAAAAGGAGCCCCTTCAGGCTGAAATATAAGGACTCTAGACTCAAATAAAAAAGGAAAATATAAAGAGCACAGGTAAAGAAAACTGGAGTTGTAATTATAAAAGAGTATAAGTGTATTTTTGCTTGTAATTTTTTTCATATCTGATTTAAAATATAAACATATAAAGTAATAATTATAATACTGTGTCAACAGGCTTAGATGTATCAATATGTGATTTATATGGCAATGATAGCACAAAAGAGAGTGAATGAAGATATACTGGGGCAAAGTTTTTGCACACTATTGAAATTACACTAGTATTAAGTCAAGCTAATCATTTTAAGTTAAGGTGTTAATTGTAATTCTCAGGTAATCACTAATAATTCAAAAAGTATAGTAAAAAACAAGACAAAACAGTATACTAGAAAATACCTATTTAACACAAAAGAAGGCAGTAACGGAGGGATACATGAACAAAAAGACAAGACACAAAAAATAATGAACAAAACGGTGGACATAACTTTTATCTTATTAGTTATTACAATAAACATTCCAACAGAAATACAGAGATTGTCAGAATGAATGATGGAAAAAAGCACAATCCAACAATATGCCATTTATAAAAAACACATTTAAAAGATATTTTTATTGATTTATTTTTTGTTTTAGAAAGAGAGGAAATGAAAAAAAGAGAGAGAGAAATATCAATGCAAAAGTAAAACATGTGAGAGCAAAACAATATCGATCGGCTGCCTACTGCACATCCCCTACTAGGGATCAAGCCCACAACCCAGGCATGTACCCTGACCAGGAATCGAACTGGCAACCTTTGTGTGCACCAGATGACACCTAACCAACTGAGCCACCTGGCCAGGGCCAAAAAACACATATTAGATTCAATACACAAATAAGTTGAAAGTAAAAACACTGTAAAAGTTAAACCATGCATAGAGTAAGCAAAAGAGAGCTGGAGTGGCTAACATAATTATCAGACAAAATAGACTTTAAAAAATGTTACCAGAGACAAAAGAGACATTTTATAAGGGTAAAAGAGTCAGCCCATCAAGTCTCTATGTCATGTACCTCTGCTCTAATCTTTATTTTTTCCTTTCTTATCCTCACTTTGGGCTTCGTTGTTCTTTTTCTTGTTCCTTTAGGTGTAAGGTTAGATTGTTTGAGATTTTCCTTGCTTCTTGAGGTAGACCTGTACTGCTATAAATTACCCTCTTAGGACTGCTTTTGCTGTGTTCCATAGGTTTGGGGTTGTTGTGTGTTAATTTGGATTTGTCTCAAGATAACATCTGATTTCTTCCAGGCTCTCACTTTTGACTATGCATCTTTTCCATTTGGCTGTTCCTGAGTTGTGTCTTTTATAATAAACTGGAAATATTAAGTAACTTCCTGAGTACTGTGAGTCATGCTAGCAAATTGAGGAGGGGGAGGATATAGGAACCCCTACTTTACGGCCTACTGGTCAGTAGTACAAGTGGCAAGCTGAGACTGTGACTGGTATCTAAAGTGGGAGCAGTCTTGTGGGACTAAGCCCTTAATTTGTTGGGTCTATGTTAAGTCCACATAGTGCCAGAACTGAATCAAATTGTAGGACATCTAGTTTGTGTCTGGAAAACTGAAGAACTGTAGAACACACACACACACACACGCACACACATTTTCTATCAGAGTAAAATAACTCAAGCAGCCCTGGCCGGTTTGGCTCAACAGTTAGAGCGTCGAACCTGGGACCAATGAGTCGCAGGTTTAATTCTGGTCACGGGCATGTATCTCCGTTGCAGTTTGTCCCGAGCCCTGGTCAGGTTGTGCTGGAGGCAGCCAGTAGATGTGGCTGTATCACGTGGATGTTTCTCTCTCTCTCTCTTCCTCCCTCCCACTCTATCTGATAATAAGTAGAAAAATATCCTCTGGTGAGGAATTAAAAAAATAAAATAAATAAAATAAAAAATAACTCAGGCAGTATCTATTAAGATGGATGCAGTATGAATAAGCCTATAACTCAGCAATTTCACTCCTAGAGACATATCCAATCTACATGTTAAGTACTAGAATGTATACATGTTAAGTACTAAAATTTTTATAGCAACACTATACATAAAGCCCAACCTGGAAACTATCTGACTGTCTATTAACACCACAATAAATTGTGGAGCAGACACACAATGAAATACTATACAGAAATAAAAATAAAGAATCTACAACTTCAAGCAACAATAAGGATGAACCCACAAACATAACATTAAGTGAAAAAACCAAAGCAAAAAATATAGTTCTATTTATAAAAAATGCAAAAACAGGTAGTACATTTATACATATTAGAAGTTGGAACTGCGTAGGAAATTACCTCAACTGCCTAGTAGAATTAAATGTCAACAGATATGTTCATCTGGTTATTGTACTGCAGTTTGATAATAATCTTCATATTTTTATCTAACCTGCATTCATGTACAGATTAAAAGTTTTAAAATATAATTATTCAGATTTTGATCAATCATCTTGATTTTTTAATTAAAATGTGTATTTCTAATCATATTTTATAAAGCATTCAAAATTGGTTGAATGCTTATTTTCCTGAAGGTATTTTTACAATAGTTTCATAATGGTATATAAACTTTGCACATCTATGTAGTTTGATACTTACTGTCGCATTTGAAAATCATGTGTAATGTAACTGGTTTTATACAAAATACTGAATAGTAGAAATTGTATAATTATAATTGTGTAATTAAAAGTATTAATGGGGGTGCCCGACTGGTGTTTGAGCTCAGTGGTTGAGCCTCGACCCATGCACCAAGAGGTCGCTGGTTCAAGTCCCGGTCAGAGCACATGTCTAGGTTGTGGGCCAAATCCCCAGTGGGCGGCATGCGGGAAGCAGCCAATCGATGTCGTCTCTCATTGATGTTTCTATCTCTCTCTCTCCCTCCCTGTCCTTTCCTCTCTCTCTAAAAATCAATAAAGAAAAAAGTATTTTTCTTTTTTAAGTATATTTTTTAAGTATTAATGAGAAGGTAAAGGAGGTTGGCCTTGGGGGAGAGCTAGTAACTGGAAGGGGGAATAAGAAGTTCTTCTGAGGTGATAATAATATTCCATGTTTTAATCTGAGGATGGTTATAAGGTTATGTTTGGTCTTGTAAAAACTCATTAAGTTGTATAATTAAGATCTGTGTATTCTTCTTGCCTGTATTTCAATTAAAAGTTTTTTTTAAGTAAGATCATTCTTTAATGTATATCATTTCATAGTCTGAATAATACGGTAGTAAATAAAGCAAAATAACTTTATATAAATAAAGCCTCTCTAAATTATGTAGATTAATTTTCATAATTTACAGGGGTTGTATAATGTATATATATATAACAGGATATGAGTGGGATTCCACCTTTTGCTCTGTAATTGTCAACAGGGCACACAGCTGAGAAGAAAGTGCTAGTAACCCATCTTCTTCTAAAGAAAGTGACCTGTGATTAAGGCCAGATCCTTCTCTGGGGCTTACTAAAAAGTAGTAAAAGCCCTACAATCATCAAACAACTCCCTTCTTCCTAGTTATTTTAAGGAAACTGGAAGAGAAAGACATGAAATTTTAGCTTACAGGGGTAGATACAGGTAGAGATACTTTTGCCTTCAACTCCCAAGGCGAGTGAGGAAGTAACTTTAACAAAAGCCTTATAAAGATTAAGTGTGCCTTCAAGGGGAGACTGGCATCTCATTCCCTAAATTGGATATAAACCTAGGCACAGAATTAGTTTATCTGCCCCTGTGTTTGGCTGAGCAGAGTAAAAAGAAATTAGAGAGAAATGGATGGCAGAGAAGAGAGGGAGGGGTCAGTAGTACTGTAGAGCATTCTACATGGTCATTTATCATGGCAAGGTTGAATGAATTCCCCATGGATTAACTGAACATGTGGACAGCAGCTAGAATTGTTTTATTTTGCTAGCAGTACCTGCTCCACGAGAGCTAACTGCTCAGTAAAGAATACAGCAGCAAGATGATAAGGAATAAATAGCAAAGGGAGGTAACTGGGGTGACAATGGAAAATGTCAACTCAGAACCAGATTTCCTACTTCAGGGACTATGCATTAGTAAAGGCTGGAAAGTTATGGAAGCTGCCAAGATGCCATTAAGTCGTGGATGGTGACAGAAAACAAAAAAACATTTCATGCTGGTATCATAAAAAATTAAAATTTCAAGAAATTAATTTTATATCTATGTCTGATACTAGATATATGGTATATAATACCAGAACTATCTTTTTTTAATTAAAAAAAATTACTACTTCTTTTGAAATTTTACCAACCAACCTTTGGTAATGGTGTAGATGAAGTACTTTTGCCAGATGTCCACAGATAGCCTCTTTTATCTTTGGGTTTGCTATGATCAGCTGATGTGAAGTTTTGAGGTATATTTTGTGAAGAAGCTGCTTTAGGATCAAATTTCCGATAACTGGTTTTAAGTGTTTCCAATAAAGATGTCTGTGTTTTCTGTATTGGACAACAGAAATGAATAAAATCATCATTAAATGTCATTTTAATTACAGTGTAGCAACTAGTTGAAATAAGCTAGAATTTACTCCCAAATTTATTAATGATTAGACAACTTTGAATCTCATAATTTAATTAAATAATGAATTAATGAATTGATTAATTTTCTTTGTCACTTTATTTTCCTGTTTAAGATGAAAATGGTATCTGCCCCTCTGTCTTCAGAGAGCTGCTATGAAAACAAATAAGACATCTCAACTCTCTATCTGACCAAAAACTGAGGATTCTATAAAGAAAAATCTGTTTCACCTGGCTGGTGTGGCTCAGCGGTTGAGCAATGACCCATGCACCAAGAAGTTGCCAGTTCGATTCCCGGTCAGGGCACATGCCCAGGTTGTGGGCCAAATCCCCAGTGAGGGGCAGGCAGGAGGCAGCCAATCTATGTTCTCTCTCGCTCATCGATTTTCTACCTCTCTCTCCCTTCCTCTCTCTCTAAAATCAATAAAGAAAACAAAAAAAAAATCTGTTCCTGGTGGCAAAATGCCTTAATCTGTGTTCATTCTAACAGCCTAAAAGCTGAAGGGCAATTTATTCTCATTTCCATTCATTCTCTTTTATGCTTTCTTATCTTCTCCCTCATCTATTAAAAAATGTCAGCATTTTCCTATCCACCAACCCTCACTCCCCTCCAAAAAAAAAATAGGGAACAAAAGTTATAATTAGTAAAGAACTAGAGAAAATTTCAGTAAAAGCTAGTAAATAATAGCTGTTTTAGTGGAAAAATGAAACTCATGCCCATTTCTTATATTTTATCACTTTCATTGGTCATCGTCATATCCATGAGTACAATTATGGCAATCATTCACAAGAAAGAAGCACACACACACATCAGAAAAAGGAGTCTACTTTCAAAAGTTTGGTGGTTAATCTGCAGTGAGAATAAATTCATTATTCAAATTAGGAGGGTACAGGGTGCAGGATTATGACATGACCACAGTGCTATAAAAAACAATGGACTAGGAGTCAAGTATGCTCTTTTCTCCAGGATCTTTTACTACTTTGCTAGGTGATTTTAAGTAAATTACTAAGTATCTCAAGGCTTAAATTTATCCATTTATATAATCAAGCTAAATAAGGTGATTTGTAGGTTTCTTGCCCAGTCCTAGTGATTTCACTTTATAGTCCTTTTTCCAGTAGGTATAAATTTTAGTAGTATTTTTTCAGAGTTGCATTTCTGCATTCTTTTTCCTAAATATTTCTACATTATAGTTGATAACATAATTTTAATGAAAATATTTATTTTGCTCTCCGGATTCAACAAGAGTCTACGGAATGTAACTGCTTTCTTGGACAAATTTTCTCCCCAAAGGACTGATAATGGCAACTACACCACCGTGTGGTCATGTTTGAGAATTAACATTTCCTGGGTAGCCTAGTAGCCTAAAAGAAAATGCAACACCCCTCCTCATTCTAGAATACTGAAATAACTCTCTTCATAATACATCATGGAAAAGTATGCACTTTCCTACAAGTTACAGTCTTTTGTAAATGTTACATTTCCAGTGATGCATATATACAGAACATTCATGATTTTCTCTGTTGTACTTTTTTAACAGACATATGGTGTTTCTCCTATGTGCCAAGCACTATTTTAAATGCTTTACAAATATTATCTCATTTAATCCGCATAACTTTAGGAAATAGGTACTATTATTATCCCTTTAAAAATGAGGATACTGAGGCATGAAGAAGTAATTTGCCCAAACTAAGAAATGTTTGATAAACCTAATGATTATTATTATATAAAGGCTTGGAATAAAGTATAGCAAATAAAATCTTATTTAAACTATTTCTTTTATTATTATTGACATATATATTAATTCATGATAAAGTATATATATAAAGAAATAATTTATATTATATTTATTATATACACACACACACATTATATATCCAGACTCCCAGATGCAATATAAGGCATTTACTCATCTACTTGATAATAGATATTATAGGCATATATTACTGAAATTATACATGAATCAAAACAACTCTATAACTATATGGAATATATACCTTCATAACATGAATACATTCTATATTTAGAAATGAATATTAGAATTTAACCAATTTAGTTATCTTCATCAGACACTTCCCTTAGACTATCTAATTTGCTGGCTAATTTTAGTATGACAATAATTTCTCCAAATACAATTTTTTCAAATACCTACCACAGTATTTGGAACACATAAAACACCCAATATTCACTCACAGGTATAATATTTTCTTTCTTCTCTTTCTTTGAACCCAAGTATAACAAAATTGTATCACTGTCTACACCTAGAAACTAAACTATTCTCAACTACTCTGTCCCCTTCAATTATAGTCAAAAGCAACCTCTGTGGGGACTTAAGGCTGATTACATTACTATGTATAAAGAATATTTAATCATTTAAACTCAAACTTGCAATTAGAATTCTTCTGTAATGGGTTAGAAGCTGAGTGGTATCCCTCTTCCTCATATCTGGTGCTTCCTTCCATGTGCAGGGAGCAACACTAGGGTAACATTCCTAACCTCTGTTCCCTTAGGGGAAGAACAATGACTTACTGGGATTAGTGAATTTGGAAGGAGAAATTAGGTAAATACAGTTCAACTCCTTCCTTACTCTTCCTCTTGGATACCACAGGAAGCACACATTCTGCTTTCCTCCATGAGCCATATGTTTTACAAGAGGAAGTCATTTTTAAAGGGATAGACTTGTCCTACTTCAGATTTACCTGTGACAAAGTAGGCAAATTTATCTAATTTGGGATTTCAGGATTTAAAAATCCCCATACCTTCAAAAGTAAGCTGCATTCTCCAATGTTAGGTATCAATAATAAAATATTATTTTGGTTTTCACTGTATTTCTCAATTGGTTCAGACTTAAGTGAGAAAAGCAGGATGTCATTTATTTAGCCCTCTCAAACCCAAAATTAGACATAATCTAAATATAAGCTTTAGAATTTGATAAAATATTTTGCCTCTAACATTGGAAAATTCTCAAGAAACACAAAAGTACCTAATTTAAGATATACTATAATAAAAATTATAGAAAATTGAAACCTTCTCTAAATCTCCAAATGACAACTCCTTTACATTTTTTAGTTACTGCTTTTTAATTAATAATAAATAGCAAGAAACACTTTAGGAAATGAAATTGTGTGCTATATTTTAAATGTTCATTTCCTATTATGAGCAAAAAAAATTTTCTAAGTAGATGTTAGAAAATGAATTGGTTATTTTAAAAAACTGAAAATTATATAAAACTCTTACCTTGTCATTTTTTTCTTTGAGAGTAACTGTGTTTTCTTTTGCCTCTCTTTTGAGTTTTTCCTATTAAAAATGAATATCAAGTACATACAATGTAGTCATTACTATTACCACAAATGAATGTTCCTATTATCAAAATCTTTCCTAAGTATTAACAAGAAAAAAAAAAATACTGACCTATAAGTTTTATAAAAATAATAAAAAGAAAATAGAAAAATAAATTAGTTCTTCTCTATAGAAATGTCATTTGGTTTTGAATATCTTTTTTAAATTCTGATCTGTCTCTTGTATGTATCTGTGGAATCTTCAGTAAGTCTTTTAAAAATCTGAATCTCAACTTTCTCATTAATAAAATAAAGTTGATGGAACAGATTATAAAGTAAGGAATACACACAGGTAACTATAAAGAGCTGCAAAGAAATCTAAAATATTATGGGCCTTTAGAGGCACAATTCACTTTTTCTCTGTGTGTTGATCTTGAGATTTACTTTATATGTAAATGGACTAAATTATCCAAGTAAAATGCATAGAGTAGCTAAATAAATATATATACATGATCCAAAGAAAGATAGACTTACAGTAGACTCATTTAAGCTTTAAGAACATTCACAGCCAGAAAGTGAAGGGATGGAAAAAGATGTGCCATACAAATAGAAAACAAAAGAGAGCAGAAACAGCTATACACATATCAGACAAAATAAACTTTAAACCAAAAGCTGTAACCAAAGGAGGTCATTATATAATGATAAAGGGGTCAATTCAGCAAGAGAATACAACAATTGTAAATATATATGCACCTAAGAACAGAGCACCTAAATATATTAAGCAAATATTAACATGTCTGAAGGGGAAAACAGACATTACAATGATAATAGGAGACTTCCATACCCCACCTTCAATAATTGGTAAATCATCCAGACAGAAATCAATAAAGGAACATTGAATATGAGCTATACTTGAAAGCAAACAAACCTAACAGACCTATACACAACTTTTCACCCAACAAAACAGACTATTCTTTTTGTTTTATTTTTATTTAGTGATTAATTTTAAAAAGAGAGAAGAAGGGGGAGGGAGGGAGAGAGGGAAGGATGGAAGAAGAGAAAGAGAGAGAGAAACATTGATAAGTTGTTCCACTTATTTATGCATTCACTGTTTGCTTCTTATATGTACCCTGATTGGAGAATTAACCCAAAACCTTGGCATACTGGAACAACACTCTAACCAACTGAGCTACTGGGCCAGGGCCCAGAATGTTCATTCTTAAATACATGTGGAACATCTCTGAGATAAACCATATGTTACACTACAAAATAAGTCTTAACAAATATTTTTTAAATGGAAGTATTTTTTCCGACCACAATGATAGAAAACCAGAAGTCAATAATAGGAGGGAAACAGGAAAATTCACAAATATGTGAAAATCAAACAACACAATCAACAAATAATCAGTGAGTCAAACAAAAAATCAAAAGGAAATCCAAAAATATCTTAAAACAAATGAAAATAGAAACACGGAACACTAAAACTTACAGGATACAAGCAGTTCTAAGAGAAAGGTTTACAGCAATAAACACCTACATTAAGAAAAAAGAAAGATCTCAAGTAAACAACTTAATTTTATATATCAAGAAAACAGAAAAACAAAGCCCAAAGTTAGCAGAAGAAAATAACAAAGATCAGAACAGAAATTAATGAAATTGAGATCAGAAAAAACAACAGAAACTATCAATGAAACTAAGAACTGACTTTTTTTACTTTTATTTTTAATCTTTATTGTATTACAGATGTTCCTCATTTGTCCCCCATTGATCCCCTCCTCCTCACTCCTGCCCCTCTCCTGCCTTTTCCCATACTGTTATCTGTGTCCATTGGTTATGCATGTAAGTTCTTTGGTTTATTTCTTACCAACCCCCAACACCCTTCCCATTGAGGTCTGTCAGTCTAGCAACCAATTTGTACTTCTTAACCCCTTCACCTTTTTCACTCATTCCCCCAGACCCCCTCCCATCTGGCAACCAACAAAATGTTCTCTGTATCTATGAGAATGTTTCTGTTCTGCTTGTTCATTTTTGTTTGTAGATTCAATTATCAACAGATATGTATTCATTGCCATTTTGTCTGCTCATATATTTTATCTTTTTCTTCAAAAATACCCTTCAACATTTCATATAATAACAGTTTGGTGGTGATGAACTCCTTTAACGTTTTCTTATCTGGGAAACTCTTTATATGGCCATCAATTCTAAATGACACCTTTGCAGGATACAGTAATCTTGGCTGTAGGTTCTTGCTTTTCATCACTCTGAATATTTCCTGCCACTCCCCTCTGGCCTGAAAAGTTTCTTTTGAGAAATCAGCTGACAGCCTTATGGGAACTCCCTTGTAGGTAAATAACTGCTTTTCTCTTGCTGCTTTTAAGATTCTCTCTTTGTCTTGAACCTTTTGCATTTTGATGATGATGTGTCTTGGTGTGGGCCTCTTGGGGTTCATCTTGTTTGGGACTCTCTGTGCTTCCTGGACTAGTATGTCTGTTTCCTTCACCAAGTTAGGGAAGTTTTCTGCCATTATTGTTTCAAATAGGTTTTTGATATCTTGTTCTCTCTCTTCTCCTTCTGGTACACCCAAGATGCGAATGTTGGCACACTTGAAGTTGTCCCAGAGGCTCCTTACACTATCCTCATTTCTTTGGATTCTTCTTTCTTTTTGCTGTTCTGATTGGGCGTTTTTTTTGCTTCCTTATATTCCAAATCGATAGTTTGCTTCTTGGATTTACGTACTCTACTATTGAATCTGTGTAAATTATTCTTTATTTCAGTTAATGCCTCCTTCATTTCTGACTGTGCATCCATCATTTCTGACTGCTCCTTTTTTATGCTCTTGAGGCCCTCACTAAGTTCACTGAGGTTCTCACTAAGTTCATTGAGCATCCTTATAAGCAGTATTTTGAACTCAGCATCTGTTAGGTTGCTTATCTCCATTTTGCTTAGTTCTTTTCTTGGGGTTTTGTTCTGTTCTTTCATTTGGGACCTGTTTCTTTGCCTCCTCATTTTGGCTGCCTCCCTGTGTTTGTTTCTGTGTATTACTTAACGAGCGGTATGGGGCTGAGACCAGATGATGCTTGTTTGAAAGAACTTACTAAAAATCAGAAGCAGGATCCAAGACAAGCCAATCCTAGAGTTAAGCAAGTGGCAACAGCTTGGGTGGGCCTGAAAGTTGGGTGGGCTGGGGCCTCAGGGAATCACCAGGGTGGGGCAACCAGTATGAGTCAGGGTGCTGGAGTCCCAGATATGGCAGCTGTCTGCTGCCCCAGGGAAGGGCTCACCAAAGGACAAAGGCCTCTGACAGCACATTTGTCCTGGAGAAAGCCCCCTCTCCAGCCCTTGTTCCAATGCCAAACAGCTGAGTTCTTCCCTGTATGTCTCTGGTGCCCCTCACCTGCCTCCCCTCCAAGCTTAGAGGAAGTGAGTCCAATAAGTCCGTGCATGTGCCCTTTATGAGCAGTGTCTGGGGCTCCAGCCGTGTCAGCCTCCCTGAGCCTCAGTTCCTGCTGGTTTTTCCAGCCAGAAGTTATGGGGACTTCTCTTCCTGGCACTGGAACCCTGAGTAGGGTACCTGGTGTGGGACAGGGACCCCTCAGTCCTCAGGGAGCACCTTCCCAGCCAAGGTATCCTCCTGATTTTTATCCACCACACGTGGGTGTGGGACCAGCCCGTCTGCCTCCGCCCCTCCTACCAGTCTCAAAGTGGCTGCTTCTTTAATTCCATAGTTGTAGGACTTGCATTCAGCTTGATTTCAGGCAGTTTTGAATTATGGTTGTTCTGCAGTTTAGTTGTAACTTTGATGTGGTTGTGGGAGGACGCAATACCACGTTTACCTATGCCACCATCTTGACTGGAAATCAAGAACTGATTCTATGAAAATATAAACATAACTGGTACCTTTTGATAGACTATTTAAAAAGAAGGCAAATAAATAAAATCTGAAATGTAACAGGAAACATTACAACAAATACCACAGAAACACAAACGATCATAAAAGACTACTAAAATAATTATATGCCAACAAATTAGATAACCTAGAAGAAATTAATAAATTCTAGAAACATATATCTACCAAGACTAAATAATGAATAAATAGAAAATAAGAATAGATCAATAACAAGGAGATACAATCAGTAATCAAAAATCCCCCAACAGCCCTGGCCGGTTTGGCTCTGTGGTTAGAGCATCAGCCCGCATAACAGAGAGTCCCGGGTTCAGTTCCCACTAAGGGTACATACCTGGGTTGTAGTCTGTCCCTGCCCCGGTTGGGGTCGTGTGGGTGGCAACCAGTTGATGTGTCTCTCTCACATCGATGTCTCTCTCCTTCCTGCTCTATCTGAAGCTAAACTGCAAAAATGTCCTTGGGTGAGGATAAAAAAATAAAAATCTCCCAACAATAAAATCCAAAACCTGATGGCTTTACTGGTGAATTCTACCAAACATTTAAAGAAAAATGAATACCAATCCTTCTCAAAATCTACCAAAAAATTTAAGAAGGAACACTTCTAAATTCATTTTACAATGAATTTAGAGAAGGGCACTACAAAAAAAGAAAATTACTGGCCAATATTCTTGATAAAAATAGATGCAAAAATCCTCAACAAAATATTAGCAAACTGAATTCAACAGCACATTAAAATGATCATACACGATGATGAAGTGGGATTTATCCCTGGGACGAAAGGATAGTCCAATATATACATATCAACTAATGTGATACACCACATTAGCAGAATGAAGGATAAAAATCATATAATGATCTCACTGGATGCATTAAAAGCATTTGACAAAATTGAACTTTCATTCATGATAAAAATTCAACAAATTAGGTAGAGATGAAATGTACCTCAACATAATAAAGGCCATATTGACAAGCCCACAACTAACATAATACTCAAGGGTAAAAGCTGAAAGTTTTTCCTCTAAGATCAGTGACAAGAATGCCCACTCTCACCACTCCTACTCAATACAGTCCTGGAAGTCCCCGCCAGAGAAATCAGGTAAGAGAAAGATATAAAAGGCATCAAATTGGAAATGAAGAGGTAAAATTTTTTCTATTTGCAGATGACATAATTTTATAGAGAGAAAAACCTAAAGGCTACCAAAAACTTGTTAGAACTACTAAACAAATTCAGTGAAGTTGCAGGATACAAAATTAACATACAAAAATCTGTAGCACTTCTATATACTAACAGTATTACCTGAAAAGAAGTAAATAAAACAATCCCATTTATAATAGCATCAAAAAACATAAAATACTTGGGAATAAGTTTACCAAGGAGGTGAAAGATATCTACACTGAAAACTATAAGACATTGATCAAATCAAAGAAGACACACACAAAAAAGAAAGGTATCCAGTGTTCATGGAATGAAGAATTAATATTGTTAAAATGTCCATATTACCCGAAGCCATCTATAGATTCAATGTAATTCCTATCAAGATACCAATGCCACTTTTTTTTTTACAACCCAAATGTCAATCAACAGAAGAAGAAATTAATAGTGGTGCATAGAATGAAATACTACAGAGCAATAAAAAAGAATAAACTACCAACACCAGTATACAATGTTAAAAGAATTAAGACACAAAAGAATATATGCCATATGATTGTATGTCTACCAAGGTAAAAAAAACAAGCCAAACTAATCTATGGTCACAGAGGTCAGAATAGTGATTATCCTTAGGAGGACTGACTGTCAAGGGGACAGAGAAAGTCCTAGGAATGATGGAAAAGCCCTCTATTTCAATCTATTCAATCAAAAATATTTATCAAGCTATATAATTAACATTTGTGCACTTTATTCGAAGTTATTCAACTTAAAAAGCATTTTTTAAGTCAAGAACAGACCAATGGCACTTTTTACAGAAGTAGAAAAAATAATCCTAAAATTTATATGGAACTACAAAAGATCCTAAGTAGACAAAGCAATCCTGAGAAAGAACAAAGTGGGAGGCAAAATATTCTGATTTTAACCTGTATTATAAATACTTTTGGGAAAAAAAGGTAATGGGGGAAAAACTATATTTTTAATCCATTTACTCAAATGTATCATATTATTTTCCAATATGACATGTTTATAAAAATACAAAGCTGCACCTAAACCTTATAATTAGTTACTTTATAATGCCACAAAACCTACTTTTTCTTCTCTTTCAATTTCAAGTTGTTTCCTAATGGTTGAGAGTTCATTTTTGAGATTGGATAGTTCAAGCTCCTAAAGAAAAAAGAAACATAAAGTTTGTAAGTACATATAAATGCAAACTAGTGTTTCAAATAAACTTAATTGTATAGAAACAAATTCACTTATAAAATATATATTTTTTAAAAGCCTACTGATATGGAATCATGGATGTAGGGAACAGACTGACAAACCTCAGAGGGATGGGGGGGTGGGAGGGGTGGAAAGAGATAAACCAAAGAACTTACACACATATATGCACAACCAATCAACAAGGATACTAGACTTAGGAAGGCAGGAGGGGGTAGGGGGCAGGAAGGAATGAGGGGGTCAATGGAGAAAAAAGGGGGACATCTGTAATACTTTCAACAATTAAAAAAATAGGGGGGAAAAGCCTACTGACATGAAGGCTGCTAGTTGAACATAACTAAAGATTTAATTTATACAAATATTTTACAGTTTACTCTAAAGAAATATTTAATACCATGTATCTCTCCTCCTCATCCTCTCCCAATCTACCCCATCCCTCCTCTCCCAATCTCAATCAGAGCTCCAAACTTATTTGTAACTGTAGTTTTTAACTATTCATTTGGGGAAAAAAAGAGTTCATTCCACCATTTAAAAAAATAAATTGGAAACCCACTTAACTATAAGATCCCTTTCAGATCTAAGATTTTGTATTCTATAACTCAAAAATTATCACTTCATTAAATATTATTCTTTACCACCAGCCTTGTTGACATGAAAATTGGCTTTTATGGCTAATTGTTCTGTATCTCACCAAAGATGCTTTCATTGATGACTGTTCTTGTTCTCTGCTCTTATAAAGTCCTAATTCTGAGTCTCTTTCTTCAATGATTTTATCATATTGGTGCTATATAAAACAGAAAAAAAACAGTTTAAGTATATTAGAACCCAAACAGATTATGCTTTAATATGACTGGTATCCTTGTGCATTTAAAATTTGAAGAAAATAATGATTGTGAATTAAGTAATACATATACTTGAACATTTAAAAAAAAATTTTCAGTTACATAAACTATGAAACCTAGACAACTGTCTTGGAAATAACATAACACAAGAGCAATAAATAATTCTTTTTCATTGGTAACACTGAATTTCTAATTTTAAAAATAGGCTAGAAAAATCAGGACCACTTAGAAAAGTGGCTGATTCCAGATTTGACTCAGGAAATACAAGATGAGTCTTGAATATAGTTATAACAAAAAGCAAGAAAGCTATCAAGGACTATTAAAGTCACGACAAAAGAACTTGTCACCAGTTTGAAGAAGCTGCCACTGGCAAAAGATGACACAATGATAAAAACTGCACTGGCTTTAGCCCTGGCCAGTTTGGCTCAGCGGTTGGAGCATCAGTCTACGGACCAGAGAGTCCTGGGTTCGGTTCCCGCTAAGGGCATGTACCTCAGTTGCAGTTTGTCCCCGGCCCTGGTTGGGGTCGTGTGGGTGGCAACTACTCGATGTGTCTCTCTCACATTGATGTTTCTCTCTCCTTCTCTCTTCCTGCCTCTCTCCCTCCCACTCTATCTGAAGATAAATGCAAAAATGTCCTCGAGTGAGGATAAAAAAAAAAGAGTGACCACTTCCATCCATCATAAATGACAAAGAGAGATTTCCTCAAAGTGACACCCAAGCTAAGCTTTGTATGGTTAAGATTCAAAAACAGAGAAATGGCCCAGCCAGTGTGGTTCACTGGATGAGCATCAACCCATGTACCAGGAGGTCTCCAGTTCAATTCCCGATCAGGGCACATGCCCAGGTTGTGGGCCTGGTCCCCAGTGAGGGGTATACAGGAGGCGGCCAATCAGTGTTCTCTCTCATCAATGTTTCCATCTCTCTCTCCCTCTCCCTTTCTCTCTCTCTAATATCAATAAAGGGAAAACACTCAAAAACAGAGAAATGGGAAATCAAGGGCATTCTAGCTATAATTATCTATGATTCTATCTATACCCATAAATATCTATAATTATCAGAGAAAATTACAATAAATTTTTCTAGTAAGTCAGAATGCTATCTTAATTTCACCATTTTATAAACAAATATGGATCCAATAAATAATTTTCATTACACAAAAAGAAAAAATTACCTTGTGTTTTTCCATAAGTGCTACCATTTCAGCTATTTTATGTTGACATCGTATATCAATTTCTTTCTGCAATCTTACTGCTTCATCAGCTATTACTTTTGCTTTCTCAACCTATCAAATCAATTGTTTATTAAAATTAAGCACAAAAAACAAATTTAACTTAAATTTAGAGATCATATGCTATTATGTAAAATGTAGAAATCAAACACCAGAAATTTAAGAAAACCAAGTAGAAAATGCATTATTGTTCTGGTTTATTATACGGTGCTCTATCAAGTGAGAGGACAGTATAACACTGTAAAAATCATTTACTCTTTACAAAATAATTATATACTACTCAATACTCAAACACTTATTGTAACAAGGATATTTTTAGCTTTTATAAGAAACTGTCCCTAGTATAAATTTATTATATGTTTCAAAAGTCATAATTTAAAAATTAAGTATTAGTTTTCTCTTAAAATACTATTTAATAAACAAATATAAATTTAGTATAACAAATTCTCAAACTTATTTTTTCCTACCTCTCCCAAAAGATTTTCTTCTGTTTTCTTTTTGTCCTCAATATCTTTTTGATAGCTGTCGGTCGTTTCTTTAAATTTTTGTTTGGCACCTTCTAGTTCTAACTCTAATTTACTGACCTTTGTGTAAAAAAAATAATAATAACAACATAAACATTAGTAAATGCTGTGGAGTTCTTGAGAATATTGTGTTCATTTTATGGTTCTATGAATCTTTAAAAACTACTTTTTCAGGGAAATTATGGTTGGATCATTTTCATATGATAAAATGTACTTTATTTTTAATCTTCACTCGAGGATTTTTTATTGACTTTTTTAGAGAGAGTAAAAGGGACAGTAGGGGCAGGAGAGAGGGAGAAGGAAGGAGGGAGAGAGAGAGGAGAGAAACATCGATATGAGAGAGAAACATTGATAGGTTGCCTCCTGTATGTTCCCCAACCAGGGACTGAACCCACTACCTAGGTCTGACTGGGAATCAAACATGAAACTTTCTGGTACACAGGAAGACACTCCAACTGAGCCCCCCAGCCAGGGAAGATGTACTTTATTTTTCACAAAATCTATCTTCTCCCCTGAAATACATATTTGGACTTGACAAGTAATATTTTAAAGTAGACATATTTTAACTTTTAGTGGAGCTTCTCAACAATATTTAAATTTTTTAGTCTCAGTTCAGTATGTTTTATTAAAATAAGCAACTATTCCATTTGTACAGTACACCCTCGTGATGCAAGGAAAAAGCATATTCTTTACAAAAATAGCCTTATTGGGGAGGGGAGGGAAAGGGGGAAAAAGGAGAAACATCTCTAACAAAAATAAATAAATTTAAAAATAAGTAAATAAATGTAAAAAAAAAATATCCATATGAAGATGTTTGCTATGCAGCCATTAAAAATCACATTTTGTATAATATTTAATTGTATGCAATATGCTTAACTGTGATACCTTAACTGTGGAATGATAAGTGATTTTTATTTAACACTGGATATCTTTGTAACATTTGAAGTGAACTATTTTCTTCATTTTTGGAGGATTTTTCCTACTTTTATTTAATAAGCATATTTATCACAAGTTAAAATTTTAATGTACAATTTTAACTTTCCATAAATGTGAAAAGGAAAAAAAAAAACAGCCTTATTGAGATATAACTAACATACAAAAACTACACATATTTCATACATACAATTAGGAGTTTGGATATATGCAAACACCTATGAAACCACCATCACAATCAATCCATCACCTCCAAAAGTTTCCTTTTATCCCTTTGGGGTATTTTTGTTTCTTTTTCTGTTTTGTTTTGTTTTGTTTTGTCATAACAATGCTTAACATGAGATCTAACTTCTTAATGTTTTTTATCCTCACCCTAGGATATGTCATTCACTTTTCTTAGAGAGAAAGGGAGAGAATGAGAAAGAAGGAGAGAGAGAGAGAGAGAGAGAGAGAAAGGGAGGGAGGGAGGGAGACATTAACCAGTTACCTCCCGTGCACACCCCATTTGGGATCAAATCCACAATCTAGTTATGTACCTGATCAGAAATCAAGTCCACGACCTTTTGGTGTACGGGACATGTTCCAAACAACTAAGCCACCCAGTTAGGGTTCAATAAAATTTTAAGTGTACAATAATTTATTGTTGACTATAAGCACTATGCTGTACAGCAGATCTCTGGAACTAATTTATCTTTCATAACTGAAATCTTAAACAAATTGAGGAATAACCTCTTTTTTCCCCTCCCCCATCCCTTGATAATTACCATTTTAATCTTTGCTTCTGTAAGTTTGACTGTTTTAGGTACCTTATATTAAGTGCAATCATGCAGTATTTGTCCTTCTGTGATTGGCTTTTGCTGTTGAATTGAAAGTGTTCTTTATATGTCCCAGATACTACATCATTATCAATAAATGATTTGCAAATACTATCTTCCATTCTGGGGGTTATCTTTTCACTCTCTTGATTGAAAAAATTTCAGTGCACTCTCTACCACAATTCTGCCTTTTTATCAGAAATGCAGAAGCTATCACAAAAAGACAAAAACTATATTTTTCTACTTATATGAAGTACCTATAGTCATCAGATTCATAGGTCAGAGAGAGGTGGTTACAAGGAACTATGAGGATTAGGGAATGGGGAGCTGCTTAATGGGTATAGAGTTTCAGTTTTACGAGACAACGAGAGTCCTGGGAACTGGCTGCACAATAATGTAAATGAACTGTGTATAGTTTTAAAAGAAAAAAGGTTAAAATGGTAAATATGATGTTATGGGTATTTTACCACAATAAAAAATAAAAAAGAGGAAAAAAGACTTGAATAGACACTCCATAAATGAAATGACCAAATAACTAAATAGTTCATGGAAAAATGTTCAACACTGTTATAAGAAATGAAAAATAAAAGCACAATGGGATATTATACACCCATAAGCAGGACCAGCTACATAATGTGCAGAGCTCTATGCAAAATGAAAAGGGGAACATGCAGTTCATAAATTATTAAAAATTTCAAGATGACAATAATAGAGCAGGAAACTAAGTGTAGGATATTGTATAACTAAACAGGTCTCACATCCATGAAGTTGAGCTCTGCCCACAAGAATGGCTGAAATTAAAAAGACTGTCTATACCAAATGTGAGTAAGATAAGGACTAACTAGACTTCTCATACATTGCCACTAGGAGTATAAAATCACTTTGGAAAATGACTTGGTTGTTTCTTATAAAACTAAACGTACATCTACTCTATGACCCAGCAATTCTTTTCCTAGATATTTACTTAAAAGAACTGAAAAATGTCCAGTGAAAATCTTGTACAAGAATGTTCATAGAAGTTTTACTCATAATGATATAAAATTGGAAACAATTCAAATCTTTATTAACAGGAGACTAAATTTGTTATACTCATACAATGGAATACGACTCAACAGTAAAAATAAAAAGACCTATTGATACCTACAGGAAATGGGTGAATCTGAGCAGGCTCAGCAAAATAAACCCTTATAACAAGAGAATATATTTGGCATGGTTCCATTTAAATGAAGTTTTAGAATAGACAAACCAATTTATAGAGACAGAAAGCAGAACATTGTTGCCTCTGGGGAACAGAATTTAAAACGCAAAAGAGCCCTGGCCGGTTTGGCTCAGCGGTTAGAGCGTCAGACTGCGGTCCTGAGAGACCCGGGTTCGGTTTCCACTAAGAGCACGTACCTAGGTTGCAGTTAAGTCCCAGCCCTGGTTAGGGTCGTGTGGGTGGCAACCCTCAATGTGTCTCTCACATCTATATTTCTCTCCCTCCCGTTCTGAGAATAAATGCAAAAATGTCCTTGGGTGAGGATAAATAAATAAATAAACAAACAAACAAATAAAATGCAAAAGAACATGAGGAAACTTTCTGGGATGATGGAAATATTCCTGTATCTTGATTGTTGTTACATGGTTGTAAAAACATCTGTCAAAGCTCATCATGCATTTTATTATAGGTGAATTATATCTCAAGGAACTGGGACTAAGAAAACAAAGTATGACCTTGACATCATAAGCTTATATTCCAGGATTTTAATTTGTTTCCTACAAAGTCAACAGTTATCAAATCCCTTGTGCAGCAAGATAACCATATACGGAGCTTTTTTTAAAAAATCTTTATTGTTGAATGTATTACAGATGTTCCTCATTTTTCGCTTATTGACCCCCTTCCTCCCCACTCCCACCCCACTCCTGTCTTTTCCCCACACTGTTGTCTGTGTCCATTGGTTATGCATATAAGTTCTTTGGTTTATTTCTTACCAACCCCCAACACCCTTCCCATTGAGGTTTGTCAGTCTAGCAACCAATTTGTTCTTCTTAATCCCTTCACCTTTTTCACCCATTCCCCCAAACCCCTTCCCATCTGGCAACCAACAAAATGTTCTCTGTATCTATGAGAATGTTTCTGTTCTGCTTGTTCATTTTGTTTGTAGATTCAATTATCAACAGATATGTATTCATTGCCATTTTGTCTGCTCATATATTTTATCTTTTTCTTCAAAAATACCCTTCAACATTTCATATAATAACAGTTTGGTGGTGATGAACTCCTTTAACTTTTTCTTGTCTGGGAAACTCTTTATATGGCCATCGATTCTAAATGACACCTTTGCAGGATACAGTAATCTTGGCTGTAGGTTCTTGCTTTTCATCACTCTGAATATTTCCTGCCACTCCCCTCTGGCCTGAAAAGTTTCTTTTGAGAAATCAGCTGACAGCCTTATGGGAACTCCCTTGTAGGTAAATAACTGCTTTTCTCTTGCTGCTTTTAAGATTCTCTCTTTGTCTTGAACCTTTTGCATTTTGATGATGATGTGTCTTGGTGTGGGCCTCTTGGGGTTCATCTTGTTTGGGACTCTGTGTTTCCTGGACTTGTATGTCTGTTTCCTTCACCAAGTTAGGGAAGTTTTCTGCCATTATTGTTTCAAATAGGTTTTCGATTTCTTGTTCTGTCTCTTCTCCTTCTGGCACCCCCAAGATGTGAATGTTGGCATGCTTGAAGTTGTCCCAGAGGCTCCTTACACTATCCTCATTTTTTTTTATTCTTTTTTCTTTTTGCTGTTCTGACTGGGTGTTTTTCATTTCCTTATATCCCAAATCGATGGTTTGCTTCTTCGCTTTACCTACTCTACTATTGAATCTGTGTAAATTATTCTTTATTTCAGTTAGTGCCTCCTTCTTTTCTGACTGTGCATCCTTCATTTCTGACTGCTCCTTTTTTATGCTCTTGAGGCCCTCACTAAGTTCGCTGAGGTTCTCACTAAGTTCACTGAGCATCCTTATAAGCAGTATTTTGAACTCAGCATCTGTTAGGTTGCTTATCTCCATTTCACCTAGTTCTTTTCCTGGGGTTTTGCTCTGTTCTTTCATTTGGGACCTGTTTCTTTGTCTCCTCATTTTGGCCGCCTCCATGTGTTTGTTTCTATGTATTATTTAACAAGAGGTATGATGGACCTAGCTGAGACCAGATGCTGCTTGTTTGAAAGAATTTAGGAAAACCTGAAGCAGGATCCAAGACAGGCCAATTCTATGGTAAAGCAAGTGGCAACAGCTTGGGTGGGCCTGAAAGTTGGGTGGGCTGGGGCCTCAGGGAATCACCAGGGTGGGGCAATCAGTATGAGCCAGGGTGCTGGAGTCCCAGATATGGTGGCTGTCTGCTGCCCCAGGGAAGGGCTCACCAAAGAAACAAAGGCCTCTGACAGCACATTTGTCCTGGAGAAAGCCCCCTCTCCAGCCCTCACTCCAATGCCAAACAGCTCAGTTCTTCCCTGTATGTCTCTGGCGCCCCTCAAGCTGCCTCCCCTCCAAGCTTAGAGGGAGTGAGTCCGAGTAAGTCCGTGTGCGGGCTCTTTAAGGGGAGCTGCCTGGTGCTCCAGCCGCCTCAGCCTCCCTGAGCCTCAGTTCCCGCTGGTTTTTCCAGCCAGAAGTTATGGGGACTTCTCCTCCTGGCACTGGAACCCTGAGCGAGGTACCTGGTGTGGGACAGGGACCCCTCGGTCCTCAGGGAGGACCTTCCAGCCGAGGTGTCCTCCTAATTTTCATCCACTACATGTGGGTGTGGGACCAGCCCATCTGCCTCTGTCCCTCCTACCAGTCTCGATATGGCTGCTTCTTTAATTCCGTAGTTGTAGGACTTTATGTGGAGCTTTTAAAAATGTAGACTCCAAGACTCCACCCCAAACCTATTCAACCTTCATTTTCAATGTGTGGGTAAGGACTACGAATACATACATATACATACCCACACATATATATTTAAGCTGCTTAGATCATTTTAACACAGCTAAATCACAGATAAGCACTCTTATAATTATAAGAATTCTCACAATCTCAAAAGATGATGTTTAAAAACTGCTACAAGGGTATAAAATTCTTAAATTCTCAACTATTTACTACTATATTAAAAACAAAAATAATAATTCCAAATACCTTTATCTCATAAACATTCAGTTGCTTGCTTTCCACTGTACCCCTTTTTTTTAAGGCTTTATTCTGTTAAAAGTTAAAAATAAACAATTACACTTAGTACCAAAGTGAGTCATACTTGCACTGATACCTTAACTTAGACTGAAATTATTAAGGGAAAAGAAAGCATTATTTCTAAAACTGAAGTGAAACAAATCTTTTTAAAATACTTTGATATTGAGAATCAGTACATACCTCCTGCTGGAGTTCTTCAATATTCTTGCTTTTAATTTCAATTTGTTTCTTTAAATTGTTACACTAAAATGTTATAAGAAATTATAATTATTTTATTCAATATTCTAGTCAAAATAAGTAATTTCAAACTAATAAAAATATTACATAGAGAAGTCATTCCAAAAATCATGCTGTTATATAATTCCATTAATGTCTAAAAGCAGGTGAACGAGTACAAACTTTACTAATGATTATGCCAATACAAATTTGAAAGTCTTAACTCTTCATATATTTAAAGAACATTTTAATTCAACTACTTTAAAAACAATTCCATTTGTCATTTCTGAGACCTCTTTTACTTATTATCTAGAGGGAAGGGGAATAAGATGATATTCTGTCTCCTCCTAACTACATTTTAATCCCTGTTTAAAAAAAAAAAAAAAAATACCAGCTGAACCGTTTTTATATCTCATTTTGAGGGACTACTTCACCTGGGTACACATGCAGAAATGGAATAAGAGATATTAGCCTCAAAAATATTTGGAGTACCATAAAAGCAGCTTACATTTCTCCAGGGTCCTACAATACTACAGATACATAAATTGTTCTACTTTCCATTAAAGTAGAAAGAAACACCAATGGAAAAAAAATTTAATCTCCCTCATTAGCACAAAATACTCTGTTAAATACCTTTCTTGGAACACTCACTGCCCAACTTACTCTCCCTTCTTTCTGAATAAGCTAATGAAAATTAAAATAATTAAAGTTTTCAATCCTTTTAAATTTAAATAATTTCAAAATTTAGGACTAATTAAAATAAATATATTTGGTGAAATGCCCAGAAATCTTGAAAAGGTATTAAACTATCACAGTTCATTTTTAAGTAAAATAATTTTTGTTCACAGTAATAAAGAATTTTAATAATCAGAATTCTAGATAGAAGAAGAAAAAAAGCTGTTGTTGATTATTAGAGACCAAAACTTCAGAAAGTGAACTCTACTTTCCAGAGGACTACTCACTGTATAGATGGTCAGGTTTAGGACCAGTGTGTAGTGAGGTGCAGAGAAGGAAAAAGTGAATTGGGATGGGCATCCAGACAGTAAAAACACTTCACGTAAAGAGGGCAGAAATTTTTCTTCAATTCTCTTGAGATGGCAGAGACATTTGAGAATAGTTTTTTTAAAGCATCTGGCCACTCTGAAGATATCCACAACAAATGCAGCTGCTCAGAGTATGAAATTTGGGGACAGGAAAGAGATAGCTAAAGAGGAATTTAATAAAACTTTGCTCTTTGAAGCACTGTGCAAAAATCTCCTGAACCCAGAGGCTTTTCATTATTCCTCAAAGCCTTCAAATGGGAATTGAGAATTCTAGAAAGCAGCGGTTCTCAACCTGTGGGTCATGACCCCTTTGAGGGTCGAACGACCCTTTCACAGGGGTCGCCTAAGACAATCGGAAAACACATATTTCCAATGGTCTTAGGAACCGACACAACCGCCCCTCTATCTATCTCCAGGCGGGTCTGCCCGCATGCAGATACACCCACATACAACATGAGGAACTGTATTAAAGGGTCATGGCATTAGGAAGGTTGAGAGCCACTGAAGCATAAATGATGTTAAAAGTGTAAAGACTGGCCCCAAAGAATCTAGTTATACATATATTGTTACAAAGTCTCTATTCCCAAACGTTTTTTTTGCAATAATACCTTGTTTTCTAATATCTTCATTTGTTTATCTTTTTTTACAACTTCACATTCAATGCTTCGAACCTAAAAAATATTTGACATCAGATTAAAAATGTTAACAGAATTACTATTTTCTTCTACAAGTATCTTTTATAAGTGGAATTATAAATCTTTTGCTTCAATAATCCCAGTTTATTTCAGTATACTTTCTTTAAAAAACTGTCTTTGTGTTCATGTTTATGTTCATCATTCTTATCTTAGCCCAGTATCACTTTGCAATATTTTATCAGCTTTCCCAAATTTATCTTGAATTTTTAAAAACTGACTTGCATATAAATGTTTATAATCTCTTAACTACATCCTTCACAAACATTTGTTAATATAAATCATCTAACAACCCAATGACATAGAAAGGATAGGTATACTCTCCATTTTGGAGATGAGGAAATTGAGGTTCAGATAGATAAAGTAGGTACAAAAAAATAAATGTCTGAACTAAGGAGAAAAAAAAGTGTAATGAATTTCAATGTCACGCAAAATATGTGAGAAATGTTTGCAACTTGGCTTCTTTCTGGGAAACTTTCAATAGGTAAACTGAAATCCAACTATGGAAAGAGTAAATATACTAACAACCTGTCACACATTTTTTTTCTTAATCACTAATATTTTCTAAATTGGTAAAATAAATTGACATTCTTAGTAGATGGTTTTTATTTTAAAGTAAACCAAATTCACATTATTCTTCATCACAAACAACAAGATTAGTATTTGAAGTGGCATCTGATACAAATTTTAAAGTAGTGAATTACACAGCAAGTCTTGAGAAGATTAAATTCATTTTTTTCTGGTTGAATTTAATAAGTGTAACACAAACTTATTACTCAATTTATCAGTATATTTGATATTACTAAAGCATGAGCCTAATATTTAACCTAAAAATGTAAATCAACATTAAATACTGAGCATTTATAAAAGTTAGGAATTATACCACTCTTTCGTCTAGATATAAACCATATAAGCAAAATAACCTAACTCTGCCTATATTTTACAGGTCAACAGCCTACAACAGTCCCTAGATAACTAGTTATTTATTCAACAGTGTACTTCATTTTATTTTTTTTAGACACATGGTATTGCTTTTATGATTTGAAATTTTGTGACATGATCTATTATTAAATATAACACACATTTTCCTCACTCTTGTCCAATTTACATTTAACTTCATCTCCTTTCTGCTTTAGTTCTTCTCTCACAGATTCCAGTTCATTCCTTAAAGGAAATGGAAGAGTGACATTGAGATAACATTTATAATTTCATTTTATTCCCTTTCTGAATTTCTAAAATGATTGACTATTAAACTTTGTTGGTTTTTATTTTCATTTTTCTGGGTAATTTTTCATGCATTAATACCAGTTAGGCACAATTCACTCCTATATTTAAATTATACATTTATTTTGCAATTATCTGGATTCTTATAGTCATTTATCTATTAAAAACTCTAGGAAAGAAATACTTGTTTCTAATTTAAGTCAAGATTTCACTTTACTGTTTTCTCAGTCATCATTCTAAGACATAGTCATAAGTTTATTTAAATAAATTAAATACATAGACACAAGTAGATTTTAATGAGATATTACATGACATATATATGCATACATATATATCCTTATATATGTTAATAGAGTGTCTTTGGAAACATACACAAGAAACAGTGATACCTCTGGGGAGGGAAACTGGATAGCAAAGACAAAGGCAAAAAGGTAGTTTTCTTTCCTTGTGTGTTCCTTTGTCCCTTTGAATTTCGAACCATAAGCATGTATTATCCTTATAAAAAAATTTTAAGGGAGGGTGGGGGGGAGAAAAAGTGGGTAAAAAGGGTCAAATATATAATAATGGAAGGTACCTTCTGAAGAAGAAAATTGAGCAAAGAAGACAAAAGCCATCATTAGAAGTATGACAAAAGATGACTTTCCAAATCTGGAAAATAGTAAATCATGTGCCAGGTACTGCACTCAGCACTTTTTTCACATTAACTCGTATAATCCTCAAACAAACCTATTAGGGAGGTATATCGGGTCTAAAGAAAATCTCAAATAATTTAAAATAGCAAGTCAAGTTTTAAAGACCACAATCTCCAACCAAACATAAAATAATAAAAACTTAAATAGTTCAGAATGTAAGTACAAATAAGAGCCCCTACATGTTTGGAAATCATCTAAATTACTAATGGGTTAAAAGAAAACTTTGTCAGCCAGTGTGGCTCAGTGGATTGTCATACCATGCACCAAGAAGTCACTGGTTTGATTCCCTGTCAGGGCACATGCCCAGGTCGTGGGCTTGATCCCCAGTAGAGGATGTGCAGGAGGCAGTTAATGGATGTTTCTCTCTCCCATTGATGTTTCTATCTCTCTCTCCCTCTCCCTTCCTCTCTCTCTAAAAAACAAAACAACCAAAAAAAATAAATTAATAAAAAAAACTTAAAACACAAAAACGGGTTATTTATAAAATAATAAACATAAAGATACAGCATATCAAAATCCAGGTCATAGATCCATAGCTGTGTTAACAAGTAAATTGATTACCCTAGCTGATTTGGCTCAGCGATTAGAGCATCAGCCCATGAACTGAAAAGTCATGGCTTTGATTCCCAATCAAGGGCATGTACCTGGGCTGCAGGTTCAATCCCCCACCCAGGTCAGGGTTGTTCAGGAGGCAACCAATCCATGCATCTTTTCCACATCAATGTCTGTCTCCCTCCCTCCCTCTCTCTCTCTCCCTCCACCCACCTTCCCTTCCACTCTATAAAAAAAAAAAAAAGAAGTAAACTGATCTCTTGAAATAGTTTTACTATTTCAAAAAGAAAAAGATCCAGAGGCATGGATGCATGGAACACAATGATAGATCTCGGGGTTGGGGAGCAGGGAACAGAAAGAGATTAACCAAAGAACATATATGCATAACCCATGGACGCAGACAATGGTGTGGAGAAGGCCTGGGGTAGGGAGCAGGGGCTAGGTGGAGGGGGACAAAATGGGGGCAGGGGGAGAATGGGAGACATCTGTAATACTGTCAATAATAAATTTTTTTAGAAAGAAAAAGATTAAGTATCAATTTTAAAATGAACCACGGAAAAGATCGATATTTGATTTCAGACAGGGAAAAAATTTCTAAGTACAAAACCAATGAGAAAAATTATAGCCCTGGCTGGTTTGGCTCAGTGGCTGGAGTGTCAGCCTGTGGACCAAAGGGTTGTGGGTTCAATTCCCAGCCCAGGTTGGGGTCATGCAGGAGGCAACCAATCGTCGTCTCTCTCACATTGATGTCTCTTTCTCTCTCTTCCTTCCTTCATCCCTCCCTCCTTCTCTATCTCTATGTAAAAATCAATATAAAAATATCCTTGGGAGAGGATTAATAGCAACAACAAAAAATTACAAAGAAAAATATAATACAGTATTAAAAAACTTCTGTATGACAAAAAATTACGCAAAGTGAAAGAAAAACAACAGGTTGGAGAAAATCTGTGCTGTAAATAAAACAAGATAAAAGATTAATATATTTTTAAAGCTCAACTAAATCAGTAAGAAAACAAGACTTCAAAATATTAGTGAGCAACAAGTATAAGAAATTTTAGAAAGAGGAATTCTAGCAAACAAACATGAAAAATTCTAATGCTTACCCCAAAAAATGAAAAGGACAAATGACAAGAACAATAAGTTGTTGTTTTTTCTATTATATCATCAAATAAATTAATGATAATACCCAAAACTAATTAAAACATTTTAGAACCAGTATTTTCATACAATATTGGCTGTATTGCTTGGTTACAACAGATATAACCTATTAGAAACCATTTGACTATCAAGAGTCATTAAAGCCCTGGCCTATTTGGCTCAGCGGTTAGAGCATCAGCCTGCAGTCCAGAGAGACCCAGGTTCGGTACCCGCTAAGGGCATGTACCTCGGTTGCAGTTTGTCCCTGGCCCTGGTTGGGTCGTGTGGGTGGCAACCACTCAATGTGTCTCTCTCACGTCGATGTTTCTCTCTCTCTCTCTCTTTCTCTCCCTCCCACTCTATCTGAACAGCAAAAAACAAAACAAAACAAAACAGAAGTCATTAAAATAGCCCTGGTCAGCCCTGGCCAGTTTGGCTCAGCAGTTGGAGCGCTGACCCTCGGACCAATGAGTTGTAGGTTCGATCCAGGTCAAGGGCACATACCTCGATTGCAGTTCATCCCCAGCCCCAGTCAGGTCATGCAAGAGGCAAGCAGTTGATGTGGCTCTACCACATCAATGTTTCTCTCTCTCACTCTCTCTTTCTTCCTCCCTCCCACTCTATCTGATGATTAATAGAAAAGTATCCTTGGGTGAGAAGTAAAAATAAATAAATAAATAAATAAATAAATAAATAACCCTGGGCAGTTTAGCTCAGCAGTTAGATCATCAGCCCAGGACCAAAGAGTCGCAGGTTCGACTCCTATTAAGGGCATGTACCTCAGTTGCGGTTCGTTCCCCAGCCCTGGTCAGGGTTTTAAGGGAAGCAACCAGTCGATGTGTCCCTCTCACGTCAATGTTTCTGTCTCTCTCTCCCTCTCTCCCCCTCTCTCTCCCTCCCTCCCACTCTACTGAAGATAAACAAAAAAATATCCTCAGGTGAGAATTTTTTTAAAAAGTCATTAAAATAATTATTCCTCTGACTCAATAAATTCTACTTACTTGAAATGTATCCCATCAAATTCAAAATAAGGAAAAGATCTGTATGTACTAAGATGTTTACTACAATATTATTTCTGAGTGAAAAACTGTAAAATGTGAATATCCAAAACATATACAGGATTAAAAATAAAACATGTTATATCCACTTGACTGACTGTATACAGGCATTAAAGTAGATAACTGTGAAAACCCCTAGAAACATGGATAATGCTTAAAATAATATTAAATGTTTATTTCTCTTTTAAATTTTCTGGCATATGATTAATTTATCTTCTTAGTTAATAAGCTATAAATATCACAAAGCTTATAATGCTTTAAAATTAATGTCTATGTCTAATCTCACTATTCCAATACTGAGTATAAAATAGACATTATTACAACTTTATTTTTATGCAGGATTCCAAAGCAGTAATTTAAATCTAATTTTTTACTTTATATTATATTCAACATAAGTTTAATCTAACTGTAACAAGTTAACAGAAAAGAATACTAAAATCTTTTGCCAGGCAAAAGAGGCCACCAAATCATTAATCTTGCCTTAATTGCGTTTCTGTTTCTTCCAGATTTTCTATTTGTTTCAAGATCCTTTCTTCTTGCTTTTTGCTATTCTAAGAAATAATCAATATTGTTTATATTAATTATCCTGTTTCAACAAAAATAAAATTAATATCTAAGACCTTTATCTGTCAGCATAAAATTCATTTAGTTATATATAACGTAGGAGAATGGTCTAACTTGTATAGTTCCACACTACTTTTCCAGACTTTATTCCCCTAACAATTTCTATTTAGCAGCTAACAAAACAAGCATTATTTGCTGTTTCCCAATGATGATTTGAGATGTATCCTTTGTTTATATTGCTTGGCTTCAAGGAATGCATTTCAACTCATTGTTACCTACTGAACTCATAATTATCTTTTAAGCTAAAATCAGTGCTATATTCTCTCTGAAGCCTTCTCTTACACCAAGGCAAAAGTGATCCTATGGGAACACTTTGTCCCCAAAACAATACATACTATTATTTTGTTTAAGTTATTTGAGCATGTTTTTTCTATTGAGTTATAAGCTCCTAAAGAGGAGGGATATTTTTATTCATCACTGTATCGTCCACAGTGTCTCATATGAATTACTTAATAAATACTTGTTGAATAAACACTTTATACAAATCTTGATGCTTAAAATTAGATTAACTTTATCATTGGATAGCCTCTAATTCTGTTGCTCATTATCACCATCTAAGATCAGTATGTATATTATTCGTCTAAAACAAAGTATGAGCTCTAAGATAATCAGACTTTTAAAGCTGAAAGAATCTTTAGAGGTCATCTATTCTAACCCCCTAATTTTACAGGTAAGTTACTGGTGATTTTTTTCAACTCACATTAATATCTTCTTGCTGTTTATTAAGTTCTGAGGCCATTTCACTTGTTTCTTGTGCTAGTTCTTTGTTCTCCAGTGAAAGCCTGTTGCAGTTTGCAGTTAGTTCAGTATTCTTAAGCCTGTTTTTAAAAAACATGTCATATCAAATATTTAAATATGAAATTATATGATGTAAAATATAATTCAAAATAATCTTAGGAGAAAGCAGGGAAGGGCTGGGGGTATAAATTAAGTAAGATTGGCCACTAATAATTTCTGAAGCTCTGTGATAGGTGCATGCTAGTTCATTACATATTTCCCTCTACTTTATACATGTTTGAAATTTTTCTATACATTTTTCAAGATGTTATATTATTCCCTTGCATGCTTCCCACACCATCACCCCCATATGTTTCTACATAATTTATTTTTTCTATAACTTTTCTAACAGACTGTATCTTAGAAATCATTTTGAACTTCTGATGATTTGACTTAAATAGTTAGTATATGAGGATGACTTATTTTAAATTAAAATAAAGGAAACGAGGTTTAATCTTTGTGCAGACAATTAAACTGCTCTTACTAAGTCTCGAATGCTCTACATTGGAAGAGAGATTACTGCTGTTATCAGTTGCAGCAAGGATCAATTTTAAGTGAAGGGGAATGTGTGGCTCTATGGAATGATTTCAGGAGCACTTATTATCTCCTACTACTTTACTGATACTGGAAGTTCATCAAAAAGTAGATTCAAGTTTTCATTAAAAAATGAAAGGTTGAAAAAGAAAATATATCAAGGCTAACAAAATCATACTAAAGTACAACTAATCAGTCTATTTATTGCAAGCATTGGTTAATATATGAATTTTACCCAGAACCCCTAAAACAGTACTGTTGAAAAGGTATCAAAAGCAGGGAATGGGAGCTGCAAAGGAAGAAACAAGATCCTCAGTAAACTGCTTATTTCACATTTTTATCTAGATCTAAGAAGCAACCAAAAACAAAAAATGCTCACCACTAGATTGGCTACTTGAGTTTATTTCTCTGTAATAATAAGTCTCACTTTCTCTCAAAATTAAACTTGTTGAATAGGTAAATCATTCAATTAAATATCTTATTTGGACAATGCAAGAAATGAATTTGTATTTTGTCATTTCATCAATACAAACCTATGAAATAATTTAGCAAAACAACCAAAATAACTAATTAGAACGGCAAATGATTGTTTTTTTCTTCCTGAGGAACCAAATATCTCCAAGTAATATATTTATCTTAAGCAGTTCTTAACTTTGTCATGTACTCTTTTTATGTCAATGATACGTACTTCCCTTAGCAATGAAATTGATAAATTATTTTGATCTTTAGGAATAAAATATAACTTTAAGTCCATTCAAATAAATATTGAACATAATTTACTAATTTATTATTAAATATCAGGAAACTTAGTAACTGAATACATAGCTATTTTATAGAAAGATAGAAAACATACTTCTCATTTTCAAGCTCAGTTTTCAGTTCTTTAACCTGTTTTGAATAATGTTGTTCACTTGTCACAATGGCAGTTAACTGTATTTCCAATTCATGTACTTGTTTCTGAAAAATAAACATGTATAACCACAGCAAATGGTTTTACAACTTTCTCATTTAAAAAGCTTGGTCAGTCTATGCAAATAAGTCATATATTTGGCAAAAATCTGGTAAGAATATGTTAGAATTTTTAACATATTTTAAAAATATAAGTAGATTCAATGCCATACCCATTATAATTTTAAAACAATGAGTAATGACAAATGTAATATAAGTAAATCCCATCTTGATATTCTGAAGCTCAACCAGTAAAATTATATTTACACACTATACAATGTTTTTATCACTTTTACTCTACCAAGTAATTAATTTCCATTAAAATGCTATATTACTGCCTGGCTGGTATGTGTCAGTGGATTGAGGTCATCCCATGAACTAAGAAGTCCTGATTCAATTCCAGTCAGGCACACGCCTGGGTTGTGGGCCCAATCCCCAGTAGGGGGCATTCAGGAGGCAGCTGACTGATTATTTCTCTCACATCAATGTTTGTATCTCTCTCTCCCTTCCTCTCTCTTTACAAAATCAATAAAAACATATTTTTTAAAGTTTCATAAAATGCTATAGTAAGAAAAAATATATATATATGTATATATATATATATATATTTTTTTTATCCTCACCCGAGGATATTTTTCCATTTTTTGTACAGATAGAGTGGGAGGGAGAGAAAGGAAGGGAGAGAGAGAGAGAGAGAGAAACATCGACGTGAAGGGACACATCGAGTGGCTGCCACCCACATGACCAACCAGGGCCGGGGACAAACTGCAACCGAGGTACGTGCCCTTAGCGGGAACCGAACCCGGGTCTCTCCGGACCGCAGGCTGACGCTCTAACCGCTGAGCCAAACTGGCCAGGGCAGAAAAAATATATTAATTAATGAAATCAGCATCTTAAAAACTAAGCTGTTATTACTATTATAAAAAGATAGTTTGCTCAGTGGTTGAGCATCAACCCACGTACCAAGATGTCACCAGTTCGATCCCCAGTCAGGGCACATCCCCAGGTTGTGGGTCAGATCCCCAGTGGGGTGGCACGCAGAAGGCAGCCAATGGATGTTCTCTCTCATAGATGTTTCTATCTCTCCCTCTCCTTTCCTCTCTCTCTAAAAATTAATAAAGAAAAAAATCTAAAAACATATATAGTTATAATATAATGCTATTATGGACTAAAAACATACTTTTTCAAATAAAAGACATTCTAAAATTATAACATGAGCACTATAAAAACTACTGTAAACTAAGAACTTAACTTGCCCTGGCTGGTTTGGCTCAGCAGTTAGAGTGTTGGCCCCCGCCCTGGTCAGGGTCAGGCAGAAGGCAACCAGTCGATGTGTCTCTCTCTTTTTTTTTTTCCAAGGACATTTTTGCATTTATCTTGAGATAGATTAGGAGGGAGAAAGGGAGGAAGAGAGAGAGAGAAACATTGATGTGAGAGAGACACTTCGAGTGGTTGCACACACAAGACCCCAACCAGGGCCAGGGACAAACCACAACCAAGGTACATGCCCTTAGCGGGAACCAAACCCAGGCCTCTCTGGTTGGCGGGCTGACGATCTAACCGCTGAGCCAAACCGGCCAGGGCCAATGTGTCTCTCTTGCATCGATGTTCCTCTCTCTCTCCCTCTCTTCCTCTATCTCCCTCCCACTCTATATGATCAAAATGGAAAAATATCCTTGAGCAAGGATTAAAAAAATAATAATAAAACAGAACTTAACTTAATGAAGGCTAACTTTTAAATGTATTAATTAAGAAATACTCAAAGCATCAAGAAATGTAATTGTTATAAGCCATGGTATTGTGTACATACTTATTAATACCTTAAATGCTGACCTTTCTCTACCACATTATATATAATATGGAGGTTTTCTAGATATGTTTTTAAATCAATTGTTAGCGTATTAAATGTAGCGGAAACACATAATTTAAAAAGAAAACTTCCACAAAGCTAATGTCTATACCATAATCTATTCTGTAAATCTGTACTAACAAAATATGTAAAAGAAAAATGTATCCAACAAACCTCTTTGGTTTCAAGAAGACCAGTTAGTTCTTGTTCTGTTCCTTTTAATTCTTCAGCCATCTTCTCAAATTGTTTCTTTTCATCTAAAAGCTTTTGGTTTTCTGCCTATTTAAAAACATTAATAAGTCATGACAACCAAATCACACACATATTCAAAATAATCAAAGTGCCTAACTAAAGTTGTGGAGAAATTATGAGTTTCTCTTTGGCTAAACTTTTCTTAAAGAAAACATTTGTCTTTACTCTATCCTGCAAAGCTGTCATTTAGAATCGATGGCCATATAGAGTTTCCCAGACCAGAAAAAGTTAAAGGAGTTCATCACCACCAAACAGTTATTATATGAAATGATAAAGGGTCTTTTTGAAGAAAAAGATAAAATATATGAACAAACAAAATGGCAATGAATACGTATCTATTGACAATGGAATCTACAAACAAAATTAACAGGTAGAACAGAAACATTCTCATAGATACAGAGAACATTTTGTTGGTTGCCAGATGGGAGGGGGTTGGGGGAATGGGTGAAAAAGGTGAAGGGATTAAGAAGTACAAATTCATTGCTAGACTGACAAACCTCAAAGGGAAAGGGGTTGGGGGTTGGTAAGAAATAAACCAAAGAACTTATATGCATAACCAATGGACACAGACAATAGTGTGGGAAAAGGTGGGAGGGGGGCGGGAGTGGGGAGGGAGTGGGGAGGGAGTGGGGAGGAGGAAGTCAATGGGGGGAAAATGAGGAACATCTGTAATACATTCTACATTCAACAATAAAAATTTTAAAAATAAATAAAGAAAACATTTGTCATTATTAATTCCAAAACCCAGTATGATAACAAGATTAATGGACAGAGCCCCGGAATTTTCTTATAAAAAAAAAATCATACAGGTCATTTGAAATTGAACCTTAATTTATGCATAAATCTCTCCAATTTATTAGCATTTATTAGTTATTCACTAATCTATCAATCCTGTTTATCCTTATATTGCAAAAAAATGTGCTACACTATAACTTTCCTGCAGTAGTCATTGTTCTGCCTTCCTTAATCACACAGAAGTCTAATTCCTCTTTCACATGACAACTGGTAAATATTTGAAGTTATCATCACTCCCTAACTTTTCTCTTAACTATTCTAAAATATTTAAGGATAGTATCATTCTCCTATGAAATGGTTTTAAATTCCATCGTTCAATCAGGATGGGCTCACAATGAATTCAACGTTCTAGACAACCAAGGGTCAGCAAACAAAGCCCACAGGCCAAATCCACTACTGCCTATTTTATGTATTTATTTATTTTAAGTAATTTTCCTTTATTGATTTGAGACAGAGAGATATTGATGAGAGAGAACATCGACTGGCCACCTCTTGCATGTCCCCCACTGGGGACCTGGCCCACAACCCGGGCACGTGCCCTGTCCAGAAATCAAACCGGCAACCTCTCGGTGCATGGGTCAACAGTCAGGAGGTGCCCAGTCGATGTTCTCTCTTATCTATGTCTCTATCTCTCTCTCCCTCTCCCTTCCTCTCTAGAATCAATAAAGAAAAAAAAAATTTTAATATGTTTTTATTGATATTTTTAGAGAGAGAGGGAGAGAAACATTGATATGAGAGAAATACATCTATCAGCTGCCTCCTGTATGCCCCTACTGGGGATCAAGCCTGAAACCCAGGCATGTGCCCTGACTGGGAACTTCTCAGTCCATGGGACAATGCTCAATCCACTGAGCCACACTGGCCAGGCCAATGTACTTGTTTAATATTTTATCTAAAAAAACTAGCATAAAATAGCAATAGTGTGAGAGTTTAAGTCAATGGATTTGAAAAGTTATTACTATAGCCCTGGCCGCTTGGCTCAGCAATTAGAGCAGTGGCCCTCAGGCCAAAGACTCTCGAGTTGGATTCTGGTCATAGGCACATATGCAGTTGCGGTTTGGTCCAAGCCCTGGTCAGGGTCATGCAGGAGGCAACCAATCAATGTGTCTCTCTCACATCAATGTTTCTCTCTCTCCCTCCCTCCCTCACACTCTATCTGAAAATAAATGGAAACATATCCTCAGCTGAGGATTTAAAACAAAAAAAGAGCCCTGGCCAGTTTGGCTCAGCGGTTAGAGCATTGGCCTGTGGTTCTGAGAGACCCAGGTTCGGTTCCCACTAAGGGCGTGTACCTCGGTTACACTTTGTCCCCGGCCCTGGTTGGTTGTGCAGGTAGCAGCCACTCAATTGTCCCTTTCATGTCTATGTTTCTGTTTCTCTCTCTCTCTCGCTCGCTCTCTCTCTCTCTCTCTCTCTCTCCCACCCCCCACCCCTCTCTCTCCCCCTCTCTCTCCCTCCCACCCTACCTGAACAAAAAATGGAAAAACGTCCTCCTATGTATTAAAATAAGAGCAACTAAATACTTACCGAGATTTTTTTCAATTCTTCAAGTTCTACTTCTTTGTTATTGTTAAGCTTAGTCATCTCTTCTAAAGTAAGCAAAAGAATATAAATCTGTTAAAAACTGGATTAAAAGAGTAGGAGAGGAGAAATGTGAATAATACCATTTGAAAGGGGAAAACTAAAAGAGACAGATTAATGCAACTAAAGTACCCTAAAGCAGTAATTTTCAACCAGTGTGCTGCAAGACATTTTTAAACATGCAATACCTGACTATTTAGTCAGGGACACTGACCTCTTTTTCCTTATATTGTCAAATAAAAAAATGACAACAGCCAATACAACAATGGCCATCCAGTGTGAATGAATCAAAATTATACCTTTGTCAGATCTACAAAAAAAATTTTTGGTGTCCTACAGAATTTTAGTAATTAGTTTATGTGTGCCATCAGATGAAAAAGGTTGAAAAGTGCTGCCCTAAAGCACAGCGGAAGTCCAAATGGAACTATACAAAAATAAGTATTAATAATGTTTCTTTTCTATAAAGTTAATTCCACAACCAAATGAGCACAAAATAAGCAATCGATCTGTATTTGGAATGTGGTCATTCAGCATATGTGTGCTTTTACTTCCAACTCATCATCCTCCTCTAAACATCTGGCCTCAGTCTTCACTCCAAACTTAAAAGAAGTAATCCACTTGACTCCAGCTAACTCAAACCACTATACTCTACATCTCAACATTCCCACCTCCTCTGATACTTTAATTGCTATAACAAGATACACTGACTCTCTGTTCAGGAATCTTTCATTTCCCTCATCACAACTAAATATCTATTTAAAAAGGATCTGATTGACCTTTCTGCCCCTTCATACTACAGACAAATCTCCATTTTGCTTGGCAGACAAATTCCTGTTTGTTATCTACAAATTTCTTAACCTCATGCAGAACTAACTGATGCCTAGCTCAAAAATCATCCATAACCACCCTGGCCGGTTTGGCTCAGCGGTTGGAGTGTTGGCCTGCAGGCCAGAGAGTACCGAGTTTGGTTCCGCTAAAGGCACGTACCCCCCTGCCCCAAAAAATCATCCATAACCATTCTGTGGTGCAATTCTTTGTCCTCATAATTGTACAACTTTCTGGCATTTGAAACTATTAGCCCTTTTCTCCCCTTTTGATTTTCAAGATCTTGCATTATTTAGATTTCTTGTTTCTTAACTCCTGAACCTTCCTGTTTTCTTTCCTGACACCTTTCCTTCTTGTCACCTTAAATAACAATGCTTTACAATGCTTTTCTTTCCATACTTCCATGAATTCAATATTAAACTAATGAATTATACTATCTTTCCAGCCCAGCCAGGCCAGTGTGGCTCAGTGGATTGAGCATCATCCCATGGACTGAGAGGTCCCAGTTCAATTCCCAGTCAGAGCACATGCCCAGGTTGTGAGCTCAATCCCCAGTAGGGGTGTGCAGGAGGCAGCCGATCAATGTGTCTCTCTCATATCGATATTTCTTTCTTTCTCTCTTTCCTTCCCTCCCTCCCTTCCACTCTCTCTAAAAATCAATGGAAAAACAGTAATTTTCTAAAACTAGCATGTCTCCGCACTCTTTCTCATCCCCAATCACATAATTGTTTTAGAAAGAAGAAAAAATTATACACACACACACATATATATACAAATTTTTAAAAAACAACACATTACCATTAATAGCCCAAAGGGTTAAGGATTCTATGTGGGGGTAAAACCCACATTCATTTAATGAAGGCTATGTGGAACAGCTAGACCAAGTGACCACATCTTCCGCCACACAGCCTCAGGTTAATTCGAGGATTCTGAGAATTGGAGCCAAAGAAACATGGCAGTGCCCCACATAGCTCATGATCTCTAAGCAAGATAAACATCCCTTATACCTAGAAGACAAGCAACCAAGCCTACCCTTCCTTACAGCACTTCCCATCTCTCTCCTCTAATCAGATGAAACAGATTATAATATACATGTGAGTGAAGATGGATTCTCAAATACTTAGTTGAGCAAACATTTCATAATCAACAATCAGCCCTGGACAGTGTTGCTCAGTGATTAGAGTGTCGATCCTAACACGGAAGGGTCCTGGGTTTGATTCCCTGTCAAAGGCACATATCTGAGTTGCAGGTTCAATCCCTGGCCCCAATTGGGACTCATGTAGGAAGCAACCGATCAATGTGTCTCTCTCACATCAATGTTTCTCTCTCTCTCTCTCTGTCTCTTTTTCCTTCCCTCCCTCCCTTCCACTATCTAAAATTCAATGGAAAAATGTCCTCAGATGAGGATCAACACAAAAAAGAATCAACAGTTAGTGAAGAAAAGCAAAATCATGAAAGAGAAGAACCAAATTCAATTAAGAAAAGAACTAAAATAGCTCTTTCGGCCAGGCTGAATAGCAGAGTGCCGCCATGGGCCGCGTGATTCGTGGGCAGAGGAAGGGTGCTGGCTCCGTGTTCCGTGCGCACGTGAAACACCGCAAGGGCGCCGCGTGTCTGCGCGCCGTGGACTTCGCAGAGAGGCACGGCTACATTAAGGGCATCGTGAAGGACATCATCCATGACCCCGGCCGCGGCGCGCCCCTGGCCAAGGTGGTCTTCCGGGATCCATACCGGTTTAAGAAGCGGACGGAGTTGTTCATAGCCGCCGAAGGCATCCACACTGGCCAATTCGTGTACTGCGGCAAGAAGGCTCAGCTGAACATTGGCAATGTGCTCCCAGTGGGCACCATGCCTGAGGGCACCATCGTGTGTTGTCTGGAGGAGAAGCCTGGTGACCGGGACAAGCTGGCTCGAGCCTCGGGAAACTATGCCACTGTCATCTCCCACAACCCCGAGACCAAAAAGACCCGAGTGAAGCTGCCCTCAGGCTCCAAGAAGGTCATTTCCTCTGCCAACAGAGCTGTGGTCGGTGTGGTGGCCGGAGGTGGCCGTATTGACAAGCCTATCCTGAAGGCAGGCCGTGCCTACCACAAGTATAAAGCAAAGAGGAATTGCTGGCCACGAGTGCGGGGTGTGGCCATGAACCCTGTGGAGCATCCATTTGGAGGTGGCAACCACCAACACATTGGCAAACCCTCCACCATCCGCAGAGATGCCCCTGCTGGCCGCAAAGTGGGTCTCATTGCTGCTCGCAGGACTGGACGTCTACGGGGAACCAAGACTGTGCAGGAGAAAGAGAACTAGCTGGGGGTTCAATAAAGTTTGTTCTCCTGCCACTAAAAAAAAAAAAAAAAAAAAAAAAAAGAACTAAAATAAAATCCAAGGAGACTTCCAGTCAAGATGGCGGTGTAGGTAAACGCAGTATCATGTCCTCCAACAACCATATCAAAGTTACAACTAAACTACAGTACAACCATCATTCAAAACTGCCTGAAATCAAGCTGAATGGAAGTCCTACAACTACGGAATTAAAAAAGCAGCTGCATCGAGAGTGGTAGGAGGGGCAGAGGCAGATGGGCTGGTCCCACACTCACGTGTGGCGAATAAAAATCAGAAGGACACCTCGGCTGGGTAGGTCCTCCCTGAGGACTGAGGGGTCCCTGTCCCACACCAGGCACCTCGCTCAGGGTTCCAGTGCCAGAAAGAGAAGTCCCCATAACTTCTGGCTGGAAAAACCAGCAGGAACTGAGGCTTAGGGAGGATGAGGCAGCTAGAGCCCCAGGCAGCTCCCCTTAAAGAGCCCGCACACGGACTTACTCGGACTCACTCCCTCTAAGCTTGGAGGGGAGGCAGCTCGAGGGGCGCCAGACACACACAGGGAAGAACTGAGCTGTTTGGCAGTGGAGGGCTGGAGAGGGTGCTTTCTCCGGGACAAATGTGCTATCAGAGGCCTTTGTTCCTTTGGTGAGCCCTTCCCTGGGGCGGCAGACAACCACCATATCTGGGACTCCAGCACCCTGGCTCATACTGGTTGCCCCGCCCTGGTGATTCCCTGAGGCCCTAGCCCACCCAACTTTCAGGCCCACCCAAGCTGTTGCCAGTTGCTTTACCATAGAATTGGCCTGTCTTGGATCCTGCTTCAGGTTTTCCTAAATTCTTTCAAACAAGCAGCATCTGGTCTCAGATAGCCCGATACCTCTTGTTAAGTAACACACAGAAACAAACACAGGGAGGCAGCCAAAATGAGGAGACAAAGAAACAGGTCCCTAAAGAATGAACAGAACAAAACCCCAGGGAAAGAACTAAGCAAAATGGAGATAAGCAACCTAACAGATGCTGAGTTCAAAATACTGCTTATAAGGATGCTTAATGAACTTGGTGAGAACCTCAGCGAACTTAGTGAGGGCCTCAAGAGCATAAAAAAGGAGCAGTCAGAAATGAAGAATGCACAGTCAGAAAAGAAGGAGGCACTAACTGAAATAAAGAATAATTTACACAGATTCAATAGTAGAGTAGGTAAAGCCAAGAAGCAAACCATCGATTTGGGATATAAGGAAATGAAAAATACCCAAAAAGAAAGAAGAATCCAAAGAAATGAGGAAAGTGTAAGGAGCCTCTGGGACAACTTCAAGTGAGCCAACATTCGCATCTTGGGAGTGCCAGAAGGAGAAGAGAGAGAACAAGAAATTGAAAATCTATTTGAAACAATAATGGCAGAAAAATTCCCTAACTTGGTGAAGGAAACAGACATACAAGTCCAGGAAGCACATAGAGTCCCAAACAAGATGAACCCCAAGAGGCCCACACCAAGACACATCATCATCAAAATGCAAAAGGTTCAAGACAAAGAGAGAATCTTAAAAGCAGCAAGAGAAAAGCAGTTAGTTACCTACAAGGGAGTTCCCATAAGGCTGTCAGCTGATTTCTCGAAAGAAACTGCAGGCCAGAAGAGAGTGGCAAAAAATATTCAGAGAGATGAAAAGCAAGAACCTACAACCAAGATTACTCCATCTTGCAAAGAAAGCTGTCATTTAGAATTGATGGCCACATAAAGAGTTTCCCAGACAAGAAAACGTTAAAGGAGTTCATCACCACCAAACTGTTATTATATGAAATGTTGAACGGTCTTTTTGAAGAAAAAGATAAAAATATATAAACAAACAAAATGGTAATAATACATATCTATCAACAATTCAATCTACAAACAAAATGAACAGGCAGAACAGAAACATTCTCATAGATACAGAGAACATTTTGTTGTTTGCCAGATGGGAGGGGGTTTGGGGGAATGGGTGAAAAAGGTGAAGGGATTAAGAAGTACAAATTGGTTGCTAGACTTACAAACCTCAAAGAGAAGGGGGTTGGGGAGTGGTAAGAAATAAACCAAAGAACTTATATGCATAACCAATGGACACAGACAACAGTGTGGGAAAAGGCAGGAGGGGGATGCGAGTGGGGCGGAGGAGGTTGATGGGGGGGGAAATGAGGAACATCCGTAATACATTGAATAAAGATAAAAAAAATAATTAAATAAATAAATAAAAATGTTGGTGAGAATAGTGTGGTGAAGGCCTGGGGTGGGTTAGGAAAAGGGTGGGAAATAGGGAACATCTGTGATAATGTCAACAACATAAAATAAACTTTTAAAAAAATACAAGGAGAAAGAATTAATAGAGCAAACAGAAGCAGATATTTTGCTAAGTATGGTAACATGTTAGTATGTTCCAACAGCATATTATATCCATGAAATAAATTACCTAGAGCTTTTGGAAATTTTAAATTTGGCAACTAAGATTTCAAAAATAGCAAATTAAACACAGGTAAAGAATGAATTAGCAGGGGGGAGCCAAAAAACTTTCTCCCCCAAATTCTCCAGAAAAAAAACTAAAAGATAGAAAGTATAAGAAAAAATGTAAAGCATGAAGGATGGATCCAGAATTTCCAAAATCCACCTATCAGGACCTTACAGAGAGAGAGAGAGAGAGAAAGAGAGAGAGAGAGAGAGAGAGAGAGAGAGAGAGAGAAAGAAACAGTGACACTAGGAAAGAAGAAATGAAAGAAGAAAAAGTTGCCCTGCCAGTCTGGCTCAGCAGTAGAGCATCGGCCCATGGATCAATGAATCCTGGGTTTGATTCCAGCCACGGGCACGTACCTCAGTTGCAGTTCATCCCTGGCCCTGGTCAGGCTCATGCGGGAGGCAACCAATTGTTGTGTCACTCTCACATCAATGTTTCTCTCTTTCTCACTCTCTTTCTCCCCCCACCATTCCTCCCTCTCTACTTCCCTCCCATTCCATCTGAAAATAAATAGAAAAATATCCTTGAGAGAGGATTAAATAATAAACTTTGAATTTAGACAATGAGATGGCTCTTAAATCTACAATACAGAATAGTCATATTTGAATAGTCTTTCTTAAGGTTTACATTTTCTATCTTTGAAAAATCAAAAATTATCAAATAATCACTATTGGTAAAAGACAGAGCAGAAACTATATTTTATTCTGAAATGTGTGTGTTTTTAGAATTGGCTAATATTATCATGTACACATATCATTCTCTAAATCTTACCCAGTTCACTTGATTTCTTCTGAAGCTCCATGGTAAGTATTTTCAATTGATCTTCCATTTTTTCCAATCTTATAAAATATATTGTTAGTTTGCAATGTAAAATATTCTTTTAGTCAGAATTCATCTAGTAACTAAAATTGGTGCAATTTAGCAACAATATATCTCAGCACAGATTCACTCATTCCATTATTAAACATTTTTTGAGTACCTACTCTGTGCCAGACAGTGTAACATTTCAAAATAAGATATTGCTACTATAAATACATATTTGTATATTAATTAATCTATATGAAACCTTAAAGCTTGTGGTCACAACTTATCTCTTAGTTTTTTATTATAATAAAATTAATACATCCTAGAACTTCGAGATAGAGTCCGTAACTACTATTATACTGAATTCTGCTTCAGGAACAATATAAATATGAAAACTTGTGCAATTTGTTTAACTCCTCTGCCTTTCTGTTTCCCTGTCTATAAAACTGAGTTAATTGGAACAGATGACATCCAAGACCACTTGCAATTTTTAAATTTTTAAATAATCTAGATAGGTTAATCAAGAATATGTAAGATTAACTGAGCTAGAAAAGCTAGCTTTTCTTCCTTCACCAGACACAAGCAGTAGAGAAGAAATACTGCTAGGCCTAGTTCATGAATTCAAAGAGAAACGTGTTCCTTTCATCTTAATTAACCCTAATGCTAATGGGACAAAAATAATTACTTAGGCCTCATAACACAGCTTAATATGAATTTTTCTTTAATACAAAGTAGTAAAAAACAGCAAGTTTTTAACTTACATTTTAGACAAACTGCTACTTAGATGAAATGTAAATGAATAGCTCATTTTATAATTAGTCATATTCATTAATTCATCAATCCATAAATTAAATAAAAATGTTTGAGTACCTTCTTTGTACCATTAGTTGCTAATTTTATAAATCAGAAAGAAGGTTACAGACCTTAGTAAAATAAACCCCACTTCCCCACAGGAAGTTATTTCTATGAAGCCAGTAATAATCCAGTTTAATTTAAATATGTTATATTACTGCATCAGCATTTATCAGCAGCTTATCTATTTAGCTTGACTCTGTAGCAAAGTACACATGGGAACAATCCTAGACAATACCTGCTATCTTTTCTTAGGATACCTACCTATCCAATACAAACTTTAAAAATGTACTCCAAGTTTATATATTAAAAGGAAAACTTGGTAACAGATGTTACAGAATTACAAGTTAGTTGACAATGAACAGAAAATGGCACTGAATATTAAAAGAAAATCATTTTTATTCAGTTAAATAAATATTTTTACCTTTGATGTTCTGTTGTCAATAATTCTTTCAAATTGCAGATAGTAGTTTTATGTTCAGTAACTACAAATGAATGAGCAGCTTTAGTTTTATTAAATTCTTCCATTTGAGCTTCTTTTTCTCCAATGAGCTGATACATTTTTTTTGCTGCTATCTGTAAATCTTCCTCTAAAGTCTTTTGAGTACTCTAAATGAAATCAAATACAAAACAAAGCTATGATCCAAGGCCCTTAAGAAAAAAAGCTGCACTCTGCTTTTGTAATTTGCTGTCCCTCTTTATCCTTTCGCTCTCCTCTTCCACCCCACACACCACTCTTATTTCAATTCACCATTCCTCCAAAGGCCACCTACAATCCCAATCTCTCCATGGAGACTTCCTAGCCAATCCAGCCCACAGTGTTCTTACAATTCTTAGAACTACTACAGCAATTTTTTCCTGAATCACATTGTTGGTCTTATCTTTTAGTTATATTTTTAATATGGTTTTTATCCAATGTCTCTTATTAAACCATAAGCATTTTGTGACTGGGATTGTATCTTCTCTGTTTGAAGCTCTGGGTCCTTATACATAGTACTATTATTCAATAAATATTTGTTGACTGATGGATAGTGTGAGACTTATCACACACTAATCAGTTTTCACATCATACCACACTTCTTTGCAAAGACATTTTACAATCTTCTAGTTCTGATGTTATATGATCATGCTTCTCATTTGATTCTTTTAAGTTTTCATTCTGTAACTCTGAAAAAGAAAGTTGTAGATAAGTAGTACTTATTAGAAAATACAAAGAAAGCAAATAATTTGTAACGATTACTTTTTTTCTCCATTAGATACTCCAAAATGAGGGAGAATCATACAAATATAGATACAGTGGTACTGGTCATCATCCATTTTTATTGTCTTTTCAAGACTATTATCTCCCAAACACTCAAAGGTGACTATATAAGTATTTTCAGTGCTACATTTTTAATAGTTGAACACTGGAAACAACCTATCAAACAGGAGATAGATTAAACTATAGTGATACATACATACAATCGTATAGCATGTAGCCACTGTAAATGACAATATAGATGTTATTTATTGATTACTAATTTGGACAGACGTTTATAAATAAATCATAGAATAAAAAGGGCAAGTTAAAAAAAAAAACAGTACGGATCCAGCTTTATTCCACCTTCAGTAATTCGTGCTCTTTGCCTGTCAGGATTTGACCACTGTTTTTAGCACATTTGGCAGTGAGAAGTCCTTATCTGACTACAAGAAGGAACAGCAATGGAAAACTTCAATGTACAGCAGCATAATTCCAGTCTGCTTTACTAGCCCTCTGATTGAGAAGCCAATTGGCAAAGACTTGGGCAAGTTTGTTAAAAACAATACCCAGAGGAGAGAAAAAATGGCGGAGGAGTGAATGAAAGCTACACAGGCCATCTCCCAGGACCAAACTGAAATTACAACGAAAATAAAGACAAATCGTCAGGAAGGGGCAACCGAAAGGCAGCTTGGAGGACCACGTAACGAGGGACACTGACTCAATCCTGGTAGGCTTGCGAGGACACGAGAGGGGGCTGGGAGCCCACGGTCCGCAGTGGCCTGGGCTGGGACCTGCTGTGGCCTCGGCTGGGATCTGCGGACTCAGCTCAGACCTGCGGCCCCCGCTGGGACCAGCAGCCTCAGCTGGAAGCTGCGCCCTCAGCTGGGTCCTGTGGCCTTGGCTGGGACCAGTGGCCGTTTTTGCTGGGTCCTGTGACCTCAGCCTCGGCTGGGACCAGCAGCCTCAGCTGGAAGCTGCGCCCTCGGCTGGGGCCTGTGGCCTCGGTTGGGACCAGCAGCCGCCTCGGCTGGGTGCTGTGACCTTGGCTGGGTCCTGCAACCTCAGCTGGATGCTACACCCTCGGCTGGGACCAGCGGCCGCCTGGGCTGGATCCTGCAACCTCAGCTGGGTGCTAGGAGCTGCCGCAGCCTCAGCCACCCTTAACTGGGAACAGCACCCTCGGGTTAAAGTCCCAGGCAGCTCCACGGCGCAGAGCCTGGACAGAGGCTAAATTGGCAGCAGCCATTCACCTTGGGCTCTGGCAGAGGGAAGGCAGACTGGACTGGAACTGTGTGGGGACACTCAGGATTTGGAGGGTGCTCAGAACTTTGGCCGAGTACAGCCACGCAGGACTTTGGTCATCTTACTCCTTCCCAGGGCCCTGTGGAGAGGCAGCGGCCCCTCCCTCAGAGAGTCAACCCCACCCGGTGGCCACTGAAATGCTAATTGAGTCCCATTAACAACCAGCATCTGCCCCACCCTCTAGAAATCCTCTTACACTGAGCACCTGAGGAAGTTTTTCAGTCAACTCAGAAACCAAGGTTCTTCAGGTGACCCCTACTAATAGCCTCCAGGCAAAAAAGCTAGAGGATAACTACCATTCCCTGGGCTAGCAACTCTAACCAGGAAAGTTAAGACTTGACAGTGGTGTTTAAAGTGGGTCCTCCCGGCCTCATCCAAACCCAGGAGAGGGAGCCACAAACAGCAGAACACCAACACCCACAGAAAAAATCTGGCAGACTCCAAAGCCCACTGTGATAGCCAAAATGGTGAAAAACAGAAACAAAAGCCAAATGAAAGAACAAGAGACCTCTACCAAAGATGAGATAGATGAGGTGCAGTTAAGCAAGTTAACAGAACTAGAATTCAGAGCCATTATCTTGAGGAAGCTCAACAGCATGTGGAAGGACATGAGCACCATAACTAAAGACATAGAAATGTTGAAAATCAACCAGTTGGAAATAAAAACCACCAAGAAGAAATGAAGAATGACACATCATAAATAAAAAACACATTGGAAAGTCTAAATAGCAGAGTAGAGGAAGCTGAGGACCAGATCAGTGAATTAGAAGATAGGGTAGAAAAAAATCAACCAACCAGAAAACCAAAAGGAAAAATAATTAAAAAACAGTAAAACAGCTTAAGAGAACTGTGGGACAACTGGAAACATAGTAACATTCGCATCATAGGAGTCCCTGAAGAAGAAAATGAGCCCACACCAAGACACATAGTAATCTAAGTGCCAAAAATTCAAGACAAAGAGAGAATCCTAAAAGCAGCAAGAGAGAAGCAACAGGTTACCTACAAAGGAAATCCCATAAGGCTCTCAGCTGACTTCTCAACAGAAACACTACAGGCCAGAAGAGAATGGCATGAGGTAATCAAGGTCATGAAAAACAAGAATCTGAATCCAAAACTACTCTACCCAGCAAGGCTATCATTCAAAATAGAAGGTCAAATAAAGAGCTTCTCAGACAAAAAAAGGATAAGGGAATGCATTAGCACCCAACCAACACTGCAAGAAATGTTAAAAGACTGCTGTAATTAGCAGGAGAAACAGGAAGAAAAATAGAACCACCCTAAACAAAAATGGCAATAAATAAGTACATATCAATAATCACTTAAATGTAAATGGATTGAATGCTCCCATAAAAAGACACAGAGTAGCTGATTGGATAAGAAAGCATGACGCATCTATATGTTGTTTACAAGAGACCCACCTCACAACAAAAAACTCTCACAGGTTGAAAGTGAAGGGATGGAAAAAAATCTTCCAAGCAAACAGAAAGGAAAAAGAAGCTGGGGTAGCAATACTTATATCTGATGAATTAGATTTCAAAATGAAGGCCATAACTAGAGACAAAGAAGGCCACTGCATAATACTGAAAGGATCTATCCAACAGGAAGATATAACCTTGATAAACATATATGCACCCAATATAGGAGCACCAAAATATATCAAAAATCTTCTGGAGGACTTCAAAAGAGAAATCGATAGCCATACAATCATAGCAGGGGACTTCAACACCCCGGTGGCATCACTGGATAGATCCTCTAGACAAAAAATTAGCAAGGAAACAGAGACTCTAAATGAAGCACTAGACCAAATGGATTTAATAGATATCTACAGAGAATTACACCCCAAAACTACAGAATTCACATTCTTCTCAAGTGCACATGGGACATTCTCAAAGATAGACCATATGTTAGGGCATAAACTAAGTCTCTACAAGTTCAAGAAGACTGAAATCATATCAAGCATCTTCTCAAATCACAATGGCATGAAACTAGAAATCAATTGCAAGAAGAACATACAAAGACATTTGAACACATGGAAGCTAAAAAGCATGTTATTAAACAATGAATGGGTTACCAAGGAGCTCAAGAAAGAAATTTAAAACTTCCTGGAAAACAATGAAAATAAACACACAACAACACAAAATCTATGGGATGCAGCGAAAGCAGTTCTGAGAGGGAAGTTCATAGCACTACAGGCCTACCTCAAAAAACAAAAAAAAAATCTCTAACAGACTATCTAACCTCACAACTTAAAGAACTAGAGAGCAAACAAAAAGAAAAGCCCAGAGCAAGCAGAAGGAAGGAAATAATAAAGATCAGACCAGAAATAAACAACATAGAGTCCAAAAAAACAATTCAAAGGATCAATGAAACAAAGAACTGGTTTTTCGAAAGGATTAACAAGATTGATGGACCCTTAGCTAGACTCACCAAGAAACAAAGAGAGAGATCCCAAATACAAAAAATCAGATATGAAAGAGAAGTAACAACTGACACCACAGAAATACAAAAGATCATTAACAACTACTATGAACAACTATATGGCAACAAATTCGACAATCTAAGCGAAATGGACAAATTTCTACAAACACATAGTCTCCCAAAACTGGACCAGAAAGAGATAGGAAACTTAAACAGACCAATAACAACAGAAGAAATTGAAGATGTAATCAAGACTCTCCCAGCAAACAAAAGTCCAGGGCCGGATGGCTTCACAGGAGAGTTTTACCAAACATTCAAAGAAGAACTAACACCCTTTCTCCTCAAACTATTTCAAAAAATTCAAGAAGAAGGAAGACTTCCAAACTCGTTTTATGAAGCCAGCATAATTCTAATTCCAAAACCAGAAAAAAACACTACAAAGAAAGAAAACTACAGGCCAATATCCCTGATGAACATAGACGCCAAAATCCTGAACAAAATACTAGCAAATCGGATCCAGCAATACATCAAAAAAATTATCCACCATGACCAAGTGGGATCCATCCCAGGGATACGAGGCTGGTACAATATTCGCAAATCAATAAACGTGATGCACCACATAAATAAAATGAAGAATAAAAACCACATGATCATATCAATAGATGCCGAAAAAGCCTTCAACAATATCCAGCATCCATTTCTGATAAAAATGCTCAGCAATGTGGGAATAGAGGAATCATATCTAGACATAATAAGGGCCATATATGAAAGACCTACAGCCAACATCATACTCAATGGGCAAAAACTAAAAGCATTTTCCTTAAGAACAGGAACAAGGCAAGGATGCCCACTTTCGCCACTCTTATTTAACATAGTACTGGAAGTCTTAGCCACAGCAATCAGACAGGAAGAAAAAATAAAAGGGATCCAAATTGGAAAGGAGGAAGTGAAACTGTCATTATTTGCAGATGACATGATAGTATACGTAGAAAACCCCAAAGACTCCATAAAAAATTTACTAGACTTAATAAATGAATTTGGAAAAGTAGCAGGATACAAAATTAACGTCAAGAAATCGATGGCATTCTTTTTTTTTTTTTATCCTCACCCGAGGATATTTTTCCATTTTTTGTACAGATAGAGTGGGAGGGAGAGAGAGACAGAAACATCGACGTGAAGGGACACATCGAGTGGCTGCCACCCGCAC